AAAATCAGTCAAAATAAAAACAAGTAATTTATTTAACAAAGTTGTTAGATTTTTAGACGAGTTATTTACATCCATGCTACTAATAAAATGATTCCAAAAAAATTAAACATTGTACAAATAATACTAATTATAAATTAAAGTGTATGAGGTTGCGTTGCTTCTGGGAAAAACATCGCAAGGACCCATACACCGAATGAAAAAAAAATTATTAACGATCGCGAATTACTAGAACCTGCCGTAGGGGGTAGGCGACAGGAACACATTTAAACGCGAAAATCGTTTCAAACGATATTAAAATTACGAATAAGTCCTCGCACGAACAAAAAAAAAATTAAAATGTGGACGCAAATAACTCAAAATTATAATTTAACAAAATTATAAAAAATAATTAAAAATTGTCAATGTGATTGAATAAAAAAAATTCATGCACAATAAATCCCTAAAGCAATCCGCCACTGCGCAAAACACTGTATGAAATCTGAAACAAAACAAATATAGTCAATCGTAAATATTTGAAACATAAGATTTATATTTAAATTTAATATTATTTAATTATATTTAAATATAATAATCTAAAGATTGCATTGAATTATTTATGTTAACTCAAAGGCTAAAATTAAATATTTTCACAACAATAAACACTGAGGCGACACTTCAGCACTAATATTTTGAATTAGAAAATGTAACGCAAATCGTTCAATATTAAAGAGACGAATTTTTACTTCAATTTATTTACATTCTTATAATTATAATTCAACAGAAAATCAAGTCAAATCGAATCAACCAAAAGACAAGTTCCATGACACGTATTTGAAACTGAATGCACGAAATGATTACATAATACATAAATATTTTTTAAAAGACTTACCACTGACTGTAGTGCTCACCGAGAGGTCCAAATACAGAATGATTTTAGTTGTTATTACGCACCTTTTTTATTGGGGTCAGAAAGGGACAAAACTATGAATTGTTACCAGATGATACTAAAATTCAAAAAATGTTATCTAATTGAATAGTTTCGGGTTCGGAACCATAGAGGGTGCAATACAAAAAGGTTATTGTACCTCACAATCAGTCATAATTCAACCTTCGTGACGGATGGTCGAAATTATTACTGCTAATATTTGCATCTAGTTCTGTTTGATTCATATATTTGATTTGATTGTGAAGTATTATTTGTATTAAATACGTTTTTATTTGTATTTGCGTCTTTATAATTTGTGCGTTTTTATATATAATTGTAAAATAAAACTGGTGGTGTATGGCATCGTGCCTTAAGGCAAATTGCTGGAACTTTCCGTACCGTAATAGAATATTCGAGAAATTTTAAACGGTTTTCAAATATATTATTACAGACTTTCATTATTACAGTATTATATATATTTATTACAGTAACTTTCATTATTTTTGTTATATCTTGTTATATCTGAGCGAATTAAATGTAAATCATAAATCAATTTATCTGCAGAACATTAACAATCGTCATTTCTTTTCGAATTCAATTTCAAAAAAATAGTTGCCTAACAAATTTTTTTTGTATATCGAAAATAATTCAGATTTTATTTTTGATTCTGACTAAAGTTTTAAATCTCACTTATATACTTTATAAAATAGTTTCAACTTTGCAATTCAGTTTATATAATTACTATAAATATTAGACAATGTTACAGTATTCATAACATTTCGTTGCGTTACGAGAAGTTCCAGCAATTTGCCTTAAGACGCTCTTGATTAGAAAACGAATAACATTCTATTTCATAGAGAATTATCTAGATCAAGATCAATCCTTAAAATAAATTGCCGTGACAAAAAAAAATCGGAAAAATTTGCCGCCCCCCAAATTGTGCCACCCTAGGCCCGGGCCTCACGGGCCTATGGGGTAATCCAGCACTGCTCTTGCTATAGATATCGAAATCTTTAATTGAGAAACTAAAAACTAAAGAAACTAAAAATATGCTTCAAATTTATTGGTTTATGAAAAAATTTATAATTATTTATAAGTTATTATTATTTATAATTATTTATAAGTTATTTATAAGTTTAAGAAAATTACATATAACCTAATAATGAAAGCAGACTAAATATTATTCGAATATACAATTTCCAATTTGAGAATTGCATTCATGGCAAACAAATATATAACTAAATAGTAATGCACAATAAAGTATTAATTATAATTATATTAAAAAATTCAAAGAGTTACAAAAAAAATTTCAAGAACAAAAAGCGAGACACGTAGCTTGAAACGGATGTTTGTGACTGAATAGAAAAACTAGTGGGGTGTATGGCATCGTGCCTTAAGGCAAATTGCTGGAACTTCCCGTACCGTAAGGAAATGTTCGAGGAATACTGAATGTCTTCAAATAGATTATTATTAATATTGTAACATTGTCAAATATTTATAAGAATTATATAAACTGAATTGCAAGATTAAAATTATTTGTTTGAAGTATATTAGAACTATAGCCAGAATTAAAAGTAAAATCTGAATTATTTTCGATATATAAAAAAAAAATTTTTTTTGATAAAAAAATTGAAACAAAATGTTTTTTTTTCCAATTTCAATTATTTTGTTAAGACAAGCAGAATGTTCTTTGAATCATTTAAATCGGACGCTTAGTTCTCTCAAAAACTGCCATTTTTTACACATTTAGCTCCGTATCTTCGAAATGGCTGGGCCTGCCTTTGCCAAAAACTAATAAACACTTCTCCCAAATTACTAATTGAATGTTTTTTAGATCATTCAATTCGGATACTCCGTTCTCTCAAAAACTCGATTTCTATTTTCTGCACTCTTTGTTCCCTATCTCCGTAACGGCTGGACCTGCCTTTGCCAAAAACTAATCAGCTCTTTTCCCTATCAATAGGAATTGAATGTTTTTTGAACCATTCAAATCGGTTGATCCGTGCGCTCAAAAACATGACTGGAAATTTGTATCCATACATACATACACACACACACATCCATTTTTTTTGAGGCATGCCAAAATGTTCAGAAACCTTTAAAACGTCGAGAAATGTAAAAATTTTCAATTTCGATTTTCGGCCCATTACAATAACTTACAATAAGAAAAAAGTATCCGGACTTTTTTCCGGAGCGGTCTGGAATTTTCCGGAATCAATCCGAACTTTTCCGCGTTGGAACCGATCACGGTTCTTCCGGAACCGGGTCCTTTTTGGACTTTGGAACCGGTTCTTAAAAATGACGGTTCTTGACAGCTCTAAGAATCACTTTTCGTATAAATTTTATTGACTTCTGCCTAACCTATTGATAAATCTGAATTACTGGTTATTATTTTTTTGGAATAGGTAATTATTCAAATTTAAATTCTACTAATATAAAGCATCATTGTGATCCAGGAAAAACCCAGGAAAACTGTTTTCAATTTACGAACGTTATGGCAAATAATGAACACCAAACACCATAGTAATAATATGTAACAATTTTTATCTTAATTATATTTTTTAACATTTATTTATAAAGTTCTATGAAACGTGTCAAATCACAATTTGTATTATCAAAATGAATAGAACAGAAAACTAGTAATTTTCAGCAAAAAAATATCACGTTTCGGAAACATAGCTACTATTAACAATATGTTGTTAATCGTATACTGCTTTATATTTTAAATTATATTTCCTGGAAATAGTTATTTATATTTTCAACAAGATTTCAAATTCATAACTAAATAGACTAAATAGATGCTATTGCTAATAGATATTGTTAATATATAATAAATGCATAATAAAATTAGAAAATAATTGATTTAATAATTGAGTGTTTATTCAAATTTTATATGCATCTTTACAAATACTAATTTCAAATTACAAATACTTACAAACTACTTACAAATGATAATTAATATTTGAGATTTCGAATAAAACATACTAGTGTACAAAAAACACTTTTTATAAGAACATATAATCATAATTAAATTAATTAGTTATTTATGCAATTAATAATAAAATCCCGGATATCATAAGCTGTTTTACCTTATCGTAAAAAATTTAGAAAAACTTTCATAAGCTTTCATACCAAGTTCCTCAATGAATGTTATATTATGAGTAAACTCCGTTTTATTATATAAACATAATTCTAATTTTTAAAGAATGAAAAATATGAATAAATAAATGTATTATCATTTATTTATTATAATAATAAATATTAAAATTATTTTAGTTTTTTACCATCTATTACTAATACCAATGCCATATGCATTTCAGTTCTTTATATAACTTAAATATTCACATACAAGGAAACCCTTAAGATTACTCTTCTGGGATTTTGATGAAGCTTCGCATGATGATAAGGCTGATAGTCAAACACTCCATAAAATATTATAGGCCTATGACAAGTGATTTAATTGGTCATAATTAATTTTTATAATTCAACCACTTCTCATAGGCCTATAATATTTTATGGGATTAGATTAACTCTAGCATCAGGTGAAGTTTCATCAAAAACCCAGAAGAGTAAACCTGAGGGTTTCTTTGTTAGACAGAATTTGAAGGCAAATAAAAAAAGTTTGTAACACATGTTGAGAACTTTTTATGAAGATTTTTCGAATCCAAGAAACAATTTGATCAATTATGATAGAAAAACTAACTTTCAACTATTTAAATTGGTTTAACACAATACTAAATAACAACGGTTAAACAAATAAAAAAAAATACTGTTGTAATCAAAAATATTAGCGAATTAATTTTTGTTTAGTTTTTTTGAGTAACTATCTATTATTATAAATATTGTTGTGAGTTTTTTGGGAAAAATTTTTCTTTCCTCCTTTTTTGTAACTTAATTATGACATAATTTTTATATTTACTTAGAACTTTTAGAACAAATATTTTTAGAACTAACTGAGCCTTCCTTACATTCAAATCAAACAAACCATAGAAACTGAACAATTAGCGCTTCTACCAATTATTCGGAAATAATTTTGTTTACAACGAATATCAATTAATCCAGTACTATATCAACTATTTTTCTGTTTTTTTTTCAGTTTCTACACTATCGTAGCCCCTAAGGTGCTACGCCCCAACAGTGAGTTCCATGCGGCCGTTGGCATGCAAGGGGTTTCGCAACCGACCCAAGTAACGGTCAGCATAGGAGGAAAACAGGACGGAGGCGGAAACGTTGACATCACGCAAAGTGTCAACGTAGAGCCCTATGCTACGAGGATTGTGAAGCTTGAGGTAAACAAAAACTCATAATAATTATTTGGTTTTTTATACAGGGTAGGGCAGGGCATAAAGGTCCAATTTGTCTTGAGCAACTATATTGTGAAAACCAAACCAATTATATCACAACAATAACACGTATCGAACAAAGAACTATCTGACTATGTTTATTAAAAACCCCAGCAACTTCATTATTGTTGAAGAAAATAGTTTTTTCGCTGCTTTTCAAAAACTTATTCAACCAATGCACAATATAAATTTCATGGGTGCATTTTTACGGAGACAACACTGTAAATATTGTGGCGGGATTAGCTCACAGAATAGCATTCCCGATTCACAAGCTGAAGGTTCTGAGTTCGAACCTCCGGCAAGAATAAAAAAAATATTAAGTAGTTAATTTGGAATTATAATAGAATCACGAATTGTAATAGAAAATATGTATGTAAAATCATCAGAATGCATAAAAATTAGAGAAGAGCTTAGAAGATGATATGAGAAGTATAGTAGAAGAAGTAAGAAATGTCTAGAAGAAGAAATGAGAAGATAGTAAAGCAGAAGAAAGAAGAATGAAGATAAGTTAAGAAGTATAGAAAGCATAGGATTATACGAAGAAGATAGTATGAAATTGAAGATTGTTTAAGAAATATGGTTGTAAAGAAAATTGTATTTAGCTAGAATAACCTTTATCTAGTATTTTGTCAGAAATATTCATCAGCAGAGTTAGAAAAACTATTTTTAACTTATTCAATTTATCTCTTATAAAATTGCTTTTTTAACTCAATTTACTGTTTTATTCACTATTTTTTAATTTTTACACCTTTTACCCAGGTAAAGGCTCCGTTGGTCCTTTTTACTCCACTCAGGTGTAAGCTTCTAAAGAAGTTATATAAAATGAACTGTTAGATTTAACTTAAAATTAACAATACATGTTATAAAATAATTAAATAACGTATACTTGAATTAAACATTGCAATAAGGTATCGTAAACCACAAGAACGGTGCTCACAACGAAAAAAACTAACAACGAAAAAAATACTTCTGTTATGAATTTTCAAACATTAATGTTTTTCTCCTAATAGCGATGTCGTAAAAATCTAAGTAATAGTTTATAATACATCTTAATCTTTTTTCCTCTACTTTCAAATATTGTTGTTGAAAAATCTTAACTTTACTGGTTTTTGAGATATTGGTAGTGGACCTTTTGAGCCGAGGAACTTTAAGCACCGTTCTACCCTAATTTATTCAGTATTCATACCAGTATGTTATAAAATTCTAGCAAACATATGTTTATAAACAACAAATCGATCATTCCGACATTTTCTACATTTTAGCTTCATTAAAAAAAATCTCCAAGTTTCTTTGAATAATATAAAATGCTGGTCACTGATTCTATCCCTTGGTCCAGACTAGTTTTATTAAACAATATTTCTTATTTTTTTCTTTCTTATTCCTATCTCTTATGATTCGTTTTCAGGTGGGCGATCTAGGTCCAGGGATGTACAACCTAACTGCTAGTGGTTCAGGTGGACTTCAATTTTACAATACGACTGAATTAATGTACAGACAAAAGAGTTATTCGGTTTTCATACAAACCGATAAAGCCATCTATAAGCCTGGGCATATGATTTTATTCAGAGTTATTGTGCTGAATGCTCATCTTAAACCAGCAGTTACTGGAAGTATGGACATCCATATAATGGTAAGTTCTATCAATAAAATAAATAATACCCAAATAGGTAGTATTTTCACTTCATCAAGATAAAAGATATTATTAGATTAATTATTTGATAAAACTTATACACAATAAAAGAGTTATCCCATATAATACGAATTTTGCGGTGATAAAAGTCCAAACGATCGCTAAGATCTACATTCAGAAAAAATTGCAATTTTGACTATTTTTTACGTTTTATAAGATCATACAAGTCTTGAAACCTATGGATTAATAATTTAAAATTTATCATCAAACCCAAATCCCAATTATGAAATTTTTTTGTCTTCATTGCAATAAATCATAAATTAATAAACTTATAAAATATATGAAATAACAACCATAAAATCGAAAACACATATGTGTAACATTTATAATAACGATGTGTTAATTATGATGCCGGATGATATGGTTAGGTTAATGATTCGTTACTCAATGTTATAGAAAATATTATAATTCCAATAGCAAATCGAAAGCAGGCAATTTGAAATAGATTTATGATGACAACAGATAATATTGATGATCCAAGAATTTAAAATTCTTATCTATATTGTCGAACAGAAAGTTCAGCATAAATTTTAGCAACTCTATGCATGCCAAATCATGTTGTACAAATACGAAGATCATAAAACATATTTCTAGCTAATACGTAGGCGGATTAATATACTTATACGCTTACCTCATAAATAATTTTAGGAATGATTTATGTAATTTCAATGTATTCAAACAAAAGTGTAATAAATATATAATTCACACTCAATTACTTATCCGATAATATCTGATATAATAAACAGATGTGCATCGTTCTATTACGATCAGGTCAAGGTGCCGAAACCAGGTTTCTCATAACCAATGCCGACTTAGAATAATTTTATGGCATATGGATGTAAATAAACTCACGCAATTTACAATGAGTTATGTATTCACTAAAGGCTTGTTTTTATGAACCACAATAGAAAAACATTTACAATAAAAAAATATTGGTAGATAAAATGATATAAATATTCAATTTACTCATAAAAGAACAATAAACTCTTTTTCAGTTAGATGGAGAATCAAAAAAAGAAAGAAACACGTTATAATGTAATAGGATAGATTTCAATTCATTTAATTTTGCAGCTGTAAAAACCTTAAAGAAAGTTTACTATTTTTTCGCGATTTCACTTTCATTTAAATAGTATGGCAGTCACCTGCATCTTCAACGATTGTACTAAATTCTTTCATGCGAGACGTGATTTTGTTAAAAGATTGCTTAATACGATCTTTGCATACATGGATACTTAAAAAATAGAAAAAGTATTATAAACACATTCATTGAGAGTTGTATAAAACTCCCATTTGAACTATAAAATAAAACTAGTAGAATATGGCATCGTGCCTTAAGGCAACTGGAACTACCCGTACCGTTACGAAATGTTCGAGGAATATTAAATGTTTTCAAATAGATTATTATAAATATTGTAACATGGTCTAATATTTATAAGAATTGTTAAAACTTAATCGCACAGTGGAAATTATTTATTCAAAGTAAATAAGTGAGCTTTGAAACTTTAGCCAGAATTAAAATAAAATCTAAATTATCTTCGATATGCAAAAAAAAAAATTTAAAAAAAATTGAGTTTTTTTTCCAAAAGCAATTGTTTTGTCAACACAAGCAAAAAGTTTTTTGAATCATTCAAATAGGATGTTTAGTTCTCTCAAAAACTGCAGTTTTTTGTACATTTAGCTCTGTATCTTCGAAATAGTTGGACCTGCCTTTGCCAAAAACTAATCATTATTCTCCCAATCATTACAAACTGAATGTTGTTTAGATAATTCAAATGGGATACTTCGTTCTCTCAAAAACTCGATTTCTATTTTCTGTACTCTGCTCCGTATCTCCGTAACGGCTAGACCTGCCTCTGCCAAAAACTAATCAGCACATCTCCCTATCAATAGGAATCGAATGTTTTTTGAACCATTCAAATCGGTTGATCCGCGCGCCCGAAAACTTGAACGAAAAAATGCGAATACACACACACATTCATTTTTCCTGAGGTATGACAAAATGTTCAGAAACCGCTGAAACGTGAAGATATACAAAAATTTTCATTTTAGATTTTCAGCCCATTACTATTACTTAAGTTAATTAATAGAAATTTCTAATTTAATTAAACGTATCTATATTTATTAATATAATTGTTAATTTCTCAAATACTTAAATTAACAAATAACAAAGGGACAAACAGGGAAAAAACTACTTAAACAATTACCAATTTTTCTGGAAATATTATAAATATCGGATAAATAATCAATAATTGATTAAGTAACTTTAAAATATTAATTTAAAAATAATTTGTACATAATTATACGAGAAGTATATCCCCTGTGAAGTCCAAATTCATTGTTATTGATTTCTGGCCATTTTACAGAAAATTATTAAACATTTTATTTTTTTCTAAAACGGGAATGTATTACTACTGAATATTCAGCAAAATGCATAAATATAATTATTACTATAATTAATAACAGCAATTTATTAAATTTAAATCACGTAACTAGTTAATTTATGTTTTCGTGAATTTAGTTCTCCATATAATATAATTGTTAATATCATATGAATTACCGTATTAAATTTCCACAATACGATTTTTAATTATTTAATTATATATTTTAACTTTATATGCTTGCAAAAGTAATTACTCTTTCGTGATATGCACAGTGTGATAGAATAAATTTATACATTATTACATAACTGTACTTATAATAATTTGCCCTATACAAATTCTTTGGTAAACAACTGATAACCAAATTACTCAAAAGAATAATTATAAAACTTAATACTATATAATAATATGTTATAATAATAATATTTCATAAGTATTCTATTTGTGATGACAATTTTTAAAGATCACGAAAAACATCCAAAATCTTTGAATGAAGAGTTCTGTTAAATTTTAAAAGTAAAACTAAGAATTCCAGATATTTATCTATTTTAATGACAATTTCTTCACTAGGATGGCAAAGGCAACAGAGTCAAACAATGGAATCGTGCTTTAACATCAAAAGGAGTCTTCAGCGGTGAACTTCAATTATCTCAAAATCCAGTTTTGGGAGATTGGACAATTGTAGCCACTGTCATGGACCAAACTTTCAGCAAAAGTGTTTTAGTAGCAGAATATGTTTTACCCAAATTCGAGGTAACTGTGGATGCCCCACAACATACTACCTTCAAACAGGGAAAAGTTACTGCCACCATTAGAGCTAAGTGAGTATTCAAACAATTGGCAGTAAAATTACCTATTTTACTTGGCTTTGTGTGTTTTAGTGTATTTTTTATTAATTTTTATATATATTTTAACTGGATATCAATCTTCTAGATATACCTATGGAAAGCCAGTAAAAGGCGAAGCCACCATAACATGCTACCCCACCATTTACTCAGGAGTAATTCAGCCTTTATATCAGAATCCAATTCGAAAAGTTATCCAATTAGATGGAAAAGCTACTGCCGAATTTGATTTGGTCGGTGAACTACAATTAACTGACGAATACGAAAGAACAGTGGTAATAGATGCCACTGTGGAAGAATCTTTGACAGGAAGAAGACAAAACAGTTCAACCCAAGTACAGATTCATAAATACAAATATAAAATGGAGCTGATCAAGACTTCGGAGTATTTCAAACCGCAATTGAAATATACAGCATTCGTGAGTAGAAATAAATTATTTACAACCTATTCATCTAATAGTATCTGGTACATAAGGATATTTATTATTTTTTTTATATTCCTCAATTCGGGTTGTTATTTTAGATCAAAATTTCACATCATGATGGTTCTCCAGTCCAAGACAACACTAACAAAGTAATCATTCGACATGGATATACCTACGATAGCGAAAAATACAATGAAAGTAGCTACATGTTGGACCAAAACGGAATGATCGAGTTGAACTTCTATCCACCAAAAGACGAGAACATGACCATATCCACATTGGGAATTGAGGTAAACTTATCACAAACCAAATCTTCAATTTGGCATGAACCTTTTGGACAAATGATTTATTCTTATGGTGATTTTTTAGGCTCAATACTTAGATCTTAAAGAATGGTTTTCAAGTGTATCCAGTGCTACTTCACCAAGTGACACTTTCATCCAAGCAGTTGTAGTAACACCAACGCCAACTGTCAATGAAGATGTTGCTATCAGAATCAATTCTACCGAACCAATGAAGTATTTCAGCTACGAAGTTCTTGGAAGAGGAGATATCATTGTTGCTGGTAAATCTTCACATAATATATTTTAATATTTGATCCACTTTATTAGATAATAATTTTACATGTCTTGGACCATTCTTCCACTGATTTGGAACTGTACTTCAGTTTCTACATAATAGTATTCAATTATATACCATTCTTCTATTTCTATATAATTTCTTCATTTGCAGCATGGACTCAATACTATAATTTCTGATTCTCCATTTTTTAGGAACTGTGGCTGTGCCTAATGGAGCTAAGGAACACACTTTCAAATTTTTGGCAAGTTATGCAATGGCACCAACTGCCCATTTAATAGTCTACTATGTTAAAGACGATGGTGAACTTGTGGCAGATTCCTTGGACATCGATCTCAACGGTGAACTAAGAAACTTTGTGAGTAAATATTATAATTTAAAATTAATACCACACCATTTTTGGTCAGGAAATACTTGAAGTGAGTAACAAAAATGCTCAAACAATTATTTTTTATTTTCTGTATCAGGTCGATATCAAATTAAGTACTCAAGAGGCAGAACCAGGTTCCAAACTTGACATTTCCATCAAGGCTAAGCCCAATTCTTACGTTGGCCTTCTCGGAATTGATCAGAGTGTTTTACTTTTAAAATCTGGTAATGATCTCTCTAGACAAGCAGTTTTAGATGAACTGAGAGAGTATGATCAAGCAGAAAGAAATCCCTATTTACCATGGGCCCGGAGGACCCTTTGGTCTTAGAAGATTTAAGAGATCGTTCTGGAGCCCTGGATCGGGTACAGCAAATGACGTATTTGAAGTAAGTAACAATACAATATCAAACCATACAATACCGAATTATTAAAATTCAGATAAAGTCTTAATATTATTAAAATTTTTAAATTCAATATAGAAATCTGGTGCAGTAATACTCACTAACAGTTATGTCTACGAAAGCTATCCAATGCGTAAGTATCTTTATATTATTTAAAAATTAAAAATTTACTATTTATAAATTTATTGTTAATAATGAGTAGTTAAAATAGTTATAGTTAATGGGCAACTGTTGCGAAGTTTTTGATACATTGAATTACAGTCAATTATATAATTTGATAATATTTTGTTCATATTAGTAACATGGCAGCCAAAACATTAGGTTATATTAAGCTGATTTTTTGTTAATTTTTAATACATTACATTATTAAAAAATTCAAATTATGATACATTCGTAAATAAACTATTTTATAGCATCACTTTGTATTATAGAAAATATACTAAAATTAAATATATTAAAATTATTCATCACTTTCAATATAAGATATTCTATGAATTAATTATTTCTATGAAAAAGTTAAGTTGGAGCCAAAAATACTCTTCGCACTAGTTGCTCATTATTCTTAAATATATAAATAACAATATTGAATTTAATCATCAAACATATTGAAATATGTCCTAAAACATCCCGAAAAATCCTCAGATTCCAAATCCTTCTAATCTCACAAAATATTTTCGTATTTAAAACAAAAGGTACAAGGTGTTCGGTTTTAATTCGCACGCGGAAATCAACGGTTAATAATTCTTAAATCGAATAGTAAATGCTAACAAAATGATCGCACGCTAAAACACGCTTCGTATTTAAAATTTATTTATATTCTAACTTGTACATATTGCTTTTGCTGTAAATACTAATCAATTTATTTGAAATCAGTAATATTTGCTTAACGAGCTTACTGTATTAAAATAAATCGTTTATAACGAGTAGTTAATCAGCTTTTTGAAATTGCCGCAAATTATAATGACTTAAGTACATTGCCGAAATATATAATATATTTTTTTAAATATAGATTTACAGGATACAGATAAATATAATAATACATATTATATGGAATATTTAAAAATACAATTTTGTTTCGATATGTATAAAATTTTAGATTATTTATTACTCATAGTTTTCCCAATATATATGCGCACAAATTTTCAAATAGAAGCGTTACGTGCGTTCTTCAAAAATTTCATACGAAAGTTATCATATTAACTTATAAATTTTAGAATATAAACGTTTCAATCACATAAGTGTATACAACAATTGTAAACTTTAAAATTTTAATTATTTATTTATTTTGTACTGATCAGCCACCATTATTTAAAAATAAATATACTTGTACATGTTAGTATGTTGCACATATAAATTTAACTTAAGATTTGTTGATGTTATTTGTTATGTGTATCATCTTGTACTTATATTTGTTTTATGTGCCAAAATCCTACACCGAGAAATGTTCCTGTCCGAGCTAAAGACCAACTCAAAAATAAAATATCCGACATTAAAATCCGTAATTTTATCTGCAATAATCACATATATTGACTTACGAATTAATAATTATCAATTATAAACTAGAATGATATTTAGCTGCGTACTTTATAACAAATTTTTCCTTGCTATTTTTTACACAAATAGAAAAGTAGCCAACTATAAATACCATTTCAAATTTCCGTTATTAAAACTTTTCTGTGTTTCAATCATTGCATTTCATTCGAATAGCTAATTATAATTACAAAGTAATCAAAATTAATCATTTTACATATATTTAGTTTTATATTTTTGAAATAGAAAACTCATAGAAGTATGAAACAAAGGCACCAGAGTTAGGGCACCTAGTAAACCAGGTCTTGGTGATCAGTGGTGTTGTGCTAATATTTTTTTACCAGAACGTTAAAATTAAAAAATCGGATCAAAAATCGGTTCTCATGTTTGTTCTGGTTCCGTTCGAAAAGGAAAGAAACAAAAATCATTACAAAACCATTTATGTGCTTATATATATGTATGTTTATTATAATAACAGAATCGTTTAATAAGAATTAGTTAGATTATAAATTATAACACTCACTTATCAAATCATTTTTGTATGTAGCGATTTTAAAAAAAAAAAAAATTGCCGGAACGCGTTCCGGCCCGACATCACCACTGTTGGTGGTGGAATTTAGCAAAAACCAAGAATAAATTCGATCAACACAGACTGACTTTAAGAGAAACTAAAAGCTCAGATAATTGGAGAGTGGAATAATACCATTCATAGCACGTTCGTAATGCATACTTACAATTAGAACAACACATAAGTAAATATTCTATTATGGAAAATACTTAATTTTGAAGAGCAAGTGAAAGCTTTCTAATTTTACCTAATGGCGCATTTATAATAATTTAAGAAGGTCGATTACTGTAGATTTCCATTTTATGGATGGCTACTTTTCTTCGTATTATTTTACTGTCGAGATCAGCTCTTCCGTTCTTCCATTTATTGAAAAAATAGCAGTTTATATTCTGAGCAGGTATTCTTATTATTATATATATATATTCACAACTTTTGCGTCGAAGCACAACTAATGTATAATTTTTCAACTATTTATGATCTACTAGCCAAGCTCGAAGAAGAAAACAGAATACTTCGTTATGAAACTTATTATTTTTTCAGACAAAAGTAAATGCTTGCTTTATCATAACATTATCTGCTTATAGTATATTATCGATTCGGTGGTGATGTTCTCAATGACGTCTTGGAGAACGAAGAATTCAGTGCCGATGTCGGTTCAGCAGGTTCGAACCCCGGCGCTCCGAGAGTCCGTTCCAAATTTCCTGAAACCTGGATATGGGACAGCGTAGATGCAGGGTAAAAACCGAAACCCTTTCCTTGTAAATAATCATTGTTTGTGTGTGGTTTTAAGGTTTTTATATGATGCGTGCCGGATTTGGAGCCAATTTTGGAGGTGCAATTCCTATGAATGCCTTCGCTGCTGTCCCCGAAGGCGCAGTAGCTAAATTTGGCAGCGGCGGCGCCCCTGAAATAGAAACACCAAAAGTTCGATCCAAATTTCCGGAAACTTGGATTTGGGATAATGTTGATGTAGATGGGTAAAAATCGTTCATGAAAATACTTCTCCTGATCATGGTGTGTCCGCTTCGTCTGCCTAAAAAATTTACAATCGATATATGGAATTCATGATATATGACGCAAATGAATTGATTTCATCGGGACCATTTTTAACGCAAATAATTGCTGACTAAAAATATGCACCTAACAATTTGGTCAGAAGCTGTGGGTTACATGAGTCATAAACTTTCAACATAAATTCGCATATCCACCAAGATTATTTTTCATATTCCACAATCGAAATATCTTCTTAATTTAAAACCTCACTTGACAACTAAGCTCTACTTTAATATCCAGAAATATTCCATGCAAAGTCTAATAATTATAAATCCCACTGAAGTGGTTCGAGGTAAACGATTATATTGCAGGAGCAAATAATGGTTTTGGTTTATGTGAGTGTGATGGTACTAACTTATTCGCTTTATGGAACTAAACTAGAATTGGGTTCGTGGTATTTCAAATTTTATGTATGCTCATCTATTTGGTAATAACATTTTCTTGTCCTGAACCTTTCCAGAATAAATCCCAGTTTAATACGAAAAAGGACTAATTTAACATTGGTCGACATAATTGTCATTTCTTCAAAGAATGTGGTATTTCTACAAAATTTCACATAATTAATTTCTTGTACCATTTTGATATAAAATATGCTCGGGTTATTTTTGGTTTCAAATTTGTCATAATCGTTTCTGAAAATATATGGTTTGAATATATTGGCACATCTTTTATAAATAAAATAAAATTTTAAACTGAAATATTAAACATAAACTGTTTATTTTGTCATCCATTCAGGCAGATTTTTCAGTTTTTCACCTTTATGTTGAAAACGACACTCAGCTTCTAAAATGAAAGAAATTAAGATTTTTTTTTTCATCTAAACTACAACTGCCTGAAAAGGCATCCAGTAATTGTTGTGATTAGTTATTAAATAAGTTTTTAAAATACTACCTATTGGTAGTATTTCAAGTTAGTATAATAAATATAAATATGTGACAAAAATCGAAGAAATGAAGAAATAAAAAGCAGTGTAGCAATATTTATGTCGACCTATGTTAGTTTTCTCTAACAATCTGAATACTTCTTCAAATCAGTGCCGGATCTCGGCCCCTTCTCTTTTAGTTGCAAATGACGGAATCTATCGCCTAGCACCCCAGCCTGGTGTGACAACACTTAAACCTGACTTGGGTCCGGCTCTGATATATAAGCCGGCCACCAGGCCGCCCTTAGCCGGCCCTTATGGCTTCAGTCGGATACCAAAACCGGTCTGGAACAAACCACGTGTTCATCTAGTACACGATTTGGCTCAGACTTGGTTGTTTAGTAATCTATCATCGGGGTATGAAATTAGAATAATTTAATACAAAACTTGTAATGTGAAGGCTACTGGATACAACTATTTGTGTTCAGAAGATATGTGCACACAAGATTTTTTTATTGTACTGATGGATTGTGTGTTCATTGGTGTATATTACACAATTTTAGGCACTCTTTATATCAGTCTTATTAATTTATGTAAATCTGTATTAGTTCCAATTTTGTTACACTCAAGTATCAAAACACTGTTCTTAAACAACAAGAGGTAGCACAAAATATCACCACTCGCAATTTTTTATGAATGTTTGATATGAGTGAATAAGTATTTTTGCACAGGTATATTCTTTTACTGTTTTCTATCATATTCTATAATATTCTTTTAAATATCAAAGGTGTAGGATAATTAGCTATCAATTTCAATTTGTATGTTACAATTTTTCCAAAATTTTATTTTTGCACTTGGTGAAATATTGTTTGTGGAATGATGTTTTACATTGTGATGTTCATTACTATATTTAAGTGTTTGCTTTGATGTTTTGTTTAATGCAATATTTTATACGAAATTGGTTGAATAATTTTCAGATATATTTGTATTAATGGTCTTGCATGTTTCATATCATACTGCTCATTATTTACAAACAATACTTATTTTCTCAATATTTTCTTCAGAAAACAAAAAAGATGATTATTGATACATTGACGAATAAAAAAACTATATTATATGATCTTAAATTCATGCAAGAATATTAATATTATTTGGAATCATTTGAATATATATTTAAATGCTAGTGAATTTTAACTTATGCAATTATTATTTTAACTTATGGTATCCTAAGACAATATACTGTAAAGCTATTTAAAGTTCTTATGTTTCATGTCAAAAAATTATCCGAGAAATCTGAATGTTACAGTTGATATTTTCACAAAAGAATGTGCCTAAAATATAGGCGACACTTCAGTTATCATAAATGATCGTTTAGTATATCACAGTTATCGAATTCCATAGATTGTACTGTCTTAGGATGCCATAATATTAAAATTTCCAAAAAAAATTTAAAAAACTTTTCATAAAATTTGATTATAAATGATTTGAATACTCAAATTTAATTATAAAATAATTGATTTTTTCCCATTACAGTTTCGAAGGACAAACGTCTTTACGCAAAGAGGTTCCAGACACAATAACATCTTGGGTCATCACTGGATTTTCAATTGACTCCATATATGGCCTTGGTTTAATTGAGGAACCACGAAAACTTAAAGTTTTCCAGCCATTCTTTGTATCTTTAGATCTGCCATACTCTATCAGAAGAGGAGAAATCGTTGCTATACCAATTGTGGTATTTAATTACATGGACAAAGATGTCACAGCCGAAGTTACTTTGGAAAATACTGCTCAAGAATTTGAATTCGCTGAGATCTCAAATGACGTTAATGATACGCCAAGTAAGTGATATTCAGAAACATGTTTTATTTACTTATTTTAATTAAACAATTGTAAAATAGCATATTTATAAATAATTATAGAGATCGAATTATACCGCAAGAAACGTCTGATGGTTCCCGCAAATAATGGAGCAAGCATTTCATTCATGGTTACACCGAAGAAGGTTGGATACTGTACCATAAAGGTAAAAATATAAATATTAAGAATAGGTTTCAAACCAATTAATAAGTTCAATTTAATCATTTTTGAAAATTCTTCAAAACCAATAATTTATGTCAAAAATATTATCTTAGGTTACTGCAAGATCATCAAATGCTGGAGACACCGTAGAACGTCAACTTCTTGTCAAACCAGAAGGAGAAACGCAATACAAAAACAAAGCTTTATTCGTAGATCTGCGACAAAAATCTGATTACATGGCCAATTTCACTGTTGAAATACCCAGGAATGTAGTTCCTGATTCTGTACAACTAGAATTGGCAGCAGTTGGTGACATTTTGGGACCCAGCATTCCAAATTTGCAAAATTTGATCAAAATGCCTTCCGGCTGTGGCGAGCAGAATATGTTGAACTTCGTGCCAAATATCGTAGTCATTGAATATTTAAAGGTAAAAGATTGACAATAAATAATTAATTATTGGCACCGATTCTACAAATAAATTAAAAAAATCAGATTGAAGTAACCATTAATACGATGTGCTTATACGACCTAATGTAAAAATGTTAATTTCTTCAGAATACAAATCAACTGACACCAGCAGTTCAGACAAAAGCAATTAAATTCTTGGAAATTGGATACCAACAGGAATTGACTTACAAGAGAGATGATGGTTCCTTCAGTGCTTTTGGAAAATCTGATGCCAGTGGAAGTACATGGTATGAGAATATAATAATTTCATCGATCATATCCACTATGGACCTTATTAAGTAATAAAGTTTGAAACCGAGAAAAAAACTCTAATATTCTATAGAAAATGAAGAAAATTGCTTACTAATACGACCTAATACTTTTCTATCAGAACGATCTTATACAGTTATTTCTACAATGATATCAATATGGAAATATTAATCCACTTACCCCAATATGATTTTACCACCAGGTTGACAGCATTTGTAGCAAAATCCTTCCGGCAAGCTGCTCCTCATATTTTGATTGAAGAGCGTATTATCAGTGATGCTTTGCGGTGGTTAAGTGACAACCAAGCTTCAGATGGAAGTTTTCCAGAAGTCGGAAAAGTTGTTCACAGTGATATGCAAGGACAAGCCGGAAAAGGCATCGCTCTTACAGCTTACACCCTCACTGCATTCCTGGAAAATCAGGTAAAAAGTTACTAGTCTTTTTTTTATTTGTATTTGCCTCTGATATTTTTATGGTAAAGGTACTTTTAAAACTGAGTACTAAAATTATATTTCTTTTTGCACTCTTTCGATTTGGATTGAAAAGTAAGTTCTATGTTACCTAAATCATCAAAATGTATATGTAGATAATAAAGTTTTCCAAATAAATAAAATTCGATTCCTAATTTATTTCCAGCGTAACTTTGATCAATACCAAAATACTATCAACAAAGCTTTGGACTATGTAGCAAGAAATTTGCAAGGATTGGAGGATCAATATGCTTTGGCTTTATGTGCTTATGCCCTGCATTTGGCCAATCATGCACAAAAAGATAGTGCATTCAGTATTCTGGATGGATTCGCAAAAACAAAAGGTAATTTAAAAAATTATTTATTAAAAAAATTATATCTAACTATTTACCACCACTAGTCAGTTTTGTAGTATGACTGACTTTCAATGTTATTTTACTATCTACAGAATTTTGATTTAAATATTGTTTTTATCCTTTTATTCCCAGATGATGCAAAATGGTGGTCCAAACCAATTCCCAAGAGCGAAGAGCGCAATCCTTGGCATTCTCTTCCTAATTCTGTAGATGTAGAAATGACATCATACGCCTTATTGACACTTCTTCGCAGAGACTTGGTTTCTGATTCTATTCCAGTAATGCACTGGTTAGTTTCTCAAAGAAATGAACAAGGAGGATTTGCATCAACTCAGGATACTGTCGTCGGAATTTACGCATTGGCAAAGCTTGCTGAAAGAATCACTTCAGGGGATAACGATGTCAGAGTGGTGGCCAAATATGGAAGAGGAGCTCAGACGAGTATTAATATAAATAGGGGCAATACAATGATTTTGCAGAAATATGAGGTAATTAGAGTTAAGACAATTTATAGAATTTTGAGTACGATTGAGCTAAATATTTTAATTAGCTACTAGACCAACAAATATAATATTGTCTTCTATTTCCAGTTACCTCCAAACATTCGCCAAGTGAATATTTCTGCTACAGGTCGTGGTTTTGCGATAGTGCAATTATCATACAGGTACAACGTGAATGTGACCGGTGCCTGGCCATTGTTCAATTTGGATCCACAAGTTGATAAAAATTCGAATCAAAACCATTTGCAGTTATCGATTTGCTCAAGGTTAGTTTATCAATTTAATGAGAAATATACAATACTGTTTTTATAAAATTGCAGTAACATTTTCGATAAAGAACTTGTTATCAATAAAATAAGAAAACTTACGGCACACTATTGAGAAATTCAAAACGTATGTTGTAAAAACATCTATTGTTATACTGAATGTAAAATCTTTATTATGTTTTTCTTGAACAAATAGCAATTGTTATCGCACAGTGCACAATTGACTAGATAGATTTATGTTTTTAATTATTTTGATTTGAAATTATTGTCTGCCTCTAAACTTATTAAATATTTACGCATAATGAGTTTTCTGATTTATAAAAATATTTAACTGTGCGATCAGAAAATTTAGATTTTATTGATATAAAGTTTGATTAAAACATATGCTAATTCTTTCAATTTTATCTCATGCTCTTATATTTCATTTATTAATTTTCAAAAATCGAACGAAACTCCACTACTACTTATTTCTTTACTTATTTATTCGCCATTATCGTTTTATTTCTTGTATGAATCCAAAATATCTTGTTGTATTCTATATATCTTGTAGGAATCTTGTAAATATTTTTGGAACATATATTCACTTTTTGGAGGTAATAATGGAAAAATGAGCTCTATATATCAAACTTTGGGTCTTAAATTTGATGCTATTCAATATATTAACCAAATCCATAATTTTATTCATGTGGTTAAAAAATTATATATACGTGTCATTCATTTTTTAAATATTTGGTTCAATATACGAAATTCATAAGCGTAATTAGTTCAAATTATTTATTTTTTCAGTACAAATTATATTACGCTTGTAATATAAGTAATTACAAAATTGTTTATATAGGCAAAATTGCACGTACATATCATCTTCTTATATTAAGTAAGTCTTATTACTATATATTTCAATTTTTGAACTAAATACCATATAGCAGTAATTAAAGTAGGTCATTTTGATAATACCAATTACCACTTTTGAAATTTCTCTCATTAATGATATAATTGACGGTAAATTATTCAGTAATTTGTTACTGCCTAAGAATGAAAAGAACAAGCTCAAATATTTGCTTTAGTAACATAAACCGTAGTGGAAATATGTAGCATTATTTTACGTAATTGGAACAAATATGCGAACAATAGTAATTATATCGAAGTTGAATACAATTGAATATGGATATAACCTTGCAACATGTTGCGAGATCACTAGAAAATTACTAGAAAAATATTGTAAAAACGTTATGAATATATATACATACATGTATACATTTACTCCTTTGCATTTGAGTAAATTTTGTGTTTAGGAAAAAATGGTTGTCCCAAATAATTTTTCCCGGCACTGTCCAAAAAAAATGCACATTAATTTTCTGCACAATTTAATTTGTTTGTTTCTGCATCCAAAGGTCGTACCGGAAATTTTTGTTGGTATTAAATAAATATTAAATGCATTAGCATCACAATTTTCAAATGAGAGCTTTCTGTTTATTTTTTTCATAAAATTGGACGGTTGAAGTTTCTCTTCAGGTTTCTTGTTGAGAATATGCACTTTCATTCAAAACTCAGAAATTCATATTTGTTTTAATAATATTAACATATTAATAATAGTATAGAAATGTAAAGTATAATATTGAAAAATGGAGTAATCTAAGGTCTGAATAACCTTACAACCCATTATAGCACATTGTCCTGAGAAAGAAAATAAAAGTTTTGATCGTGATATAATTTTCAAAATCATTATATCCTATTAATCATTATATATGTTTGTTAACATTATGTTTTCTCGACTCAGTCATTCTGTATCATTTGACACCAAAATTGAAAAAAGTATGTGTGTCATTCAAGCCATCATTGTCTATTTCTCAAAAATTTAAATGCTATTTGATGAAAATCGATAAGAGCTAATGTTGATTAATTTTCCCAAATAAGAATTTGATTGCATTTGCAAAATGGGCTCTTGATTGAATTTCCAGAGCTATTTCTGTTTAATTAATACATAAGTACCAAATTTTGACAGCTTTAGCTAATAATCCTTAGCCCATACTAAAAACTCGAAAACTAATCGAAAAACATCTATTTTTCTATAATGTTCTCATAATATATATAATATAATAATTATATAATAATAATATATATTAATATATATATATATATATAATATATTAATATATAAATTATTAATTATTAATACAGATAATATATTATATATGTAACTAGTTCTAATAATGTGCAAATATATATCCAAGTAGTTTGTTTAATTTTTAAAAATTATAAAAGAGATATCAAATATTATTAGTAAGCACTTTCTTTATAGTAATTGATTTGTTTCAGTTTCGCTGGAACAAGGGAAAATCAAACTGCAGAAAGTAACATGGCTGTGATGGAAGTTACTTTGCCATCAGGATTTACTGTAGATCAAGACTCTTTACCTAGCTTAGAGGTAAAAAACTTTTGCCAAAATATTTTTAACAAATAATCTTTGAATTTAAATCTAAATATTTATAAGCATGCTTAACTTTGGCGAGCTAGTAATCTATAAAAACAATATTTAGCAACATCAAATAAATGTATCAGTGAGAAAATGATCAGTGACATATTTGTGACTGATCTTCAAAATGAAAGACTAGCATATTAATAATATCAGCAATATATAGCAAAACGGTAAAAAATGTGCCATCTTTTTAATATAAATACAGTACAAAGGCGCCAGCCAAATGAATTGAAGAACTAGCTGTAAGTGGAATTCTGTCTTAAGGCAATTAAGGCATCGTGCCTTAAGGCAAATTGCTGAAACTTCCCGTACCAAAAATTATTTTTTTTTAAAAACGATTAACATTTTTGAAAAAAAATTTACTTCGAAAAAATAAGATTTTTGAGAAACTATAAATTGGACAAAAAATTACTTTTTTTTGAAAAAAAATTTTTTTTAAAAAAAAAAAAATTTAAATTTCTTTTTTTTTTGAAAAAAAAAATGTTTTCTTTATTTTGACATATTTTGGAAGATCTGACCTTTTTTCAAAGCAATCGTACTGCTTTAACTGCATAAAGACGAAATATCAAAGCGCGTAAGCGCCGCGTCGCCGTCTAACGCTTGAACATTGGTACGGAACCCATAGGAATGTAAACAAAATTCATACTTATTGTTAAAATCTCTATAAAATATCTGATAATTTGATGTGCATATGTCTAATGATCATTTTTGACCGCCAAATGGCATTTTTTTTTACTTTTTTCATTAGATCTCCGAAACCGCTAGACCTGCCTCTATGAAAATTTGGTCAATTCTTCATCTTGTCAATACAAGTAAAATGTTTTTTGACTTATTCAAATTGGACACTCCGTTCTCTTAAAAACTGAGTTACCGTTTTCGGCACTTTTTGCCCCGTATCTTTGGAACGGCTAGACCTGTCTTTGCCAAAAACTAATCAGCACGTCTCCTTATCAATACGAATCGAATGTTTTTTGAATTATTCAAATCGGTTGATCCGTGTTCCCAAAATCGTCGACGAAAATTTGTATCCGCACATACATACACACACGCACATACATACATACATACACACACACACACACACACACACACACACATACATCCATTTTTTCTAAGGTATGCCAAAATGTTCAGAAACCTCTGAAACGCAAAGATATATAAAAATTTTCATTTTCGATTTTTTTGCGATTACTATAACTATCCCTACGGGAAGTTAAAAATTATTACAAACAATATCATAATTTGAGCAAACACAAGAATTCTGCATGTTTATTTAGCAATATTTGACCATTAAGTAGTATAACACGCCAGAGTTATGTCGAACGAAAATGAAACTAATATTTTAAACGAAACAATTTCAAGCGTTTTTTTTAATAGTAACGTGAATCTATTTTGATCATTATATTACCACGTGATATAAGATTCCTTAGACCTTCACTACTTCATTTATTTTTAATTTTAGTATACCGAAAGTTTTTTTACCATTTTTTAACTATTAGATGTAAGAGCTAATATAAACTCCACACATAGGAGACTGGTAAACCGATGGGTTGCCTCTCATAAAATACGTTAGGTAATAAGTCTTTAACAAACAGCTTATAGAATAAGTAAAGTTCTGATTGCTGATAAACAGTAAAAAAAACTCCTTGCCTCTAATATAGTTTTTCAAAATCTGTCTTATAATACTACTTTATGAAATAATGGAATATATATTTGTATTTAAAATATAAAGCCTTCAGATAGCACAGAAAACGCTTTGTCATGTAATACAACACTTTCTCTTCATAAACAACTATTTTTATTTAAGTGTAAGAACTAAAAGTACATAATATTATTTTAATGTTATTTTATTTATTTATAATTATTATATTTAATTATAAATTTTGAAAACTCTTATTTTACTAATGATGAAATTCCAATATTTTTATTCTAGGTTTCCCAAAATGTGAAACGAGTTGAAACAAAGGATGCTGATACTGTCGTAGTAATGTACTTTGACAGTATGTCCAGGAATAAAGAATATTGCCCTACAGTATCCGCGTACAGAACACACAAGGTGGCTAAACAAAAGCCTGTTCCAGTTATTCTATATGATTACTACGATTCATGTAAGTTTTTAGACTTTAATATTTACTCTAATTTTATTTTTAATCAAGTTTAGAAAGAATTTGAACAACTCCTGAAGCTTATATTATTCTGAGGATATGAGATGAAAGTACATAGATAAATGAATCAAGATTAAATAAAAATTTTATCTCTACATTTTTATATATTTATTTATTCATACCGTTTTCTTTAATAAATATAAATAAATGCATTTAATATAAATATGCAATTTCTCTAAAATATAATTTCTCAAATAGTTCATTCACCCAATTTAATATATCAATTGTATTTTTTCATTTCTATTTTGTAAATTTGGATATTATTTCAACAATACTTTTCAAAGCCAAAACAACATTTTTAGTCTTAAACAATACCAATAAAAATTAGATGAACCTGAAAGACTTATTTGTCTGGCAGGGATAAGTTCATTACTGTTTTATCAGAAATGTATTAATAAATATTATTAAAACTAATGAAGATAGTATGTTGTCTTTTTCTATTACTCAGATTTTGTGGAAAAGCTTTTAGCGTTCAAGCGAAATTTATCGGTAGAAAATGTTGGATATCTTGTAAATACATAAACTTATTATTATTGGCATTTTAGTAAATATTTTGTTATCAAATTATTCTATAGACTCATAGAGTTGAGCAAATCAACAAATGAACAATTGATACGCTCTAACAATTCAAAAAATAATAAAACTTGACTCAGAAACATTCAGTCAATTATTGCAAAAACAATACAACATGAAATTCGTTTGAGATGTTTACACAAGTTAATTTCCGATCAAGCTGCATGTAATCGTATAATATAAAAACATTCCTTCAGTTTATTTTTAGAAAATATAAATGTTTGAGATAAGGTGTTCAATAACAACGTATAACTTACTTTTAAAAACATGTGGATTTATGAGTCATTATTATATTTAATGACTCATAATGAAATATTAGCACAAAGTAAGCATACTGCAATCTTATCTCTGATACGAAGAATTTTTTTTGTTTTTCTTATAAGTCAATTTGATATCCTGACCTCATAATTTTTTTCATAGAAAATAAATGAATCACCCCTTTATGATAAAAAATTAACTTTTTTAATAGCGATCGTGTATAATGTTTTTGATACTGATATCTAATTCGGTCTTTAACAAACTATATTTAGTTATTCAATAAATTGTCTACATATTTTTATACTTTGCATCAAATTATATGTAATCTTATTGTATAAACTAGTGGAGTGCATGGCATCGTGCCTTAAGACAAATTGCTGGAACTTCCCGTACCCGTATTAATTAAAAATCTTGGTACGGAACCCAACAAAAATTACACAAAATGCGTGCACATTATAAAAATCTCTATAAAATATCTGGTAATTTGATGCGCGTAAGTCCAATAAACATTTTTGACCGCCAAATGAAATTTTTTTAACATTTATTTTTATTGAGAGTCCATAACCGCTGGACGTGCCTTCCCAAAAATTCAATCAGTCTTCATCTTGTCAATACAAGTATTAAAATCATTTTTGAATTATTAAAATCGGACGCTCCGTTCTCTTAAAAACTGAGTTACCGTTTTTGACATTTTTTTTGCCCCGTATCTTCGGAACGTCTAGATGTGCCTTCGCCAAAAACTAATCAGCACGTCTCCTTATGAATACGAACCGAATGTTTTTTTAATTATTCAAATCGGTTGACCTGTGTTCCCGAAATCGTCGACGAAAATTTGTATCCGCACACAAACACACACACATATACACATACACACACACATACATACACACACACACATTTTTCTAAGGTATTCCAAAATGTTCAGAAACCTCTAAAACGTAAATATATATGTATGTAAATTTTATTGAAAATAAAAGATTTTCACACTCAATCACGTTTTCGACAATTAATTACGAAGAAACCGGCCAGCAACTCTGCCAAAAACTAATCACAAAATTTTCAAACTGATATCTTTCAAAATTGAATTTTTCTGCTAATTATAAAAGAAAAGACTCCTAATCCAAAACTATAATCAACCCTAGTCCTTACCGAGTTTCATCAAATAGCTTATAAATGTTTAAAATGGGTGCAGCTGATTTTGAGCCAATACTTCTTGCAATTTTGGTTTCAAACGATTCAGAACGACGAGAAAGCAAAAAAGTAAAGTATCGGATTCTCTAAAGAAAGCGCAAATTTCTCCTTCGGGAAGTTAATAATAATGTGACGTTGATGATTAATTTAATGGCTGATTTTTACCTAATCTTTATCATCTGAAAATCGGTTTTTCGGTCTGAAAATGAATATACTTCATTATTATTTCATAGCCCGCAGAGCCCGAGTTTTCTACGAAGCTCAAACAGCCACACTTTGTGATATTTGCGAAGGTGAGCAATGTGGAGACACTTGCAGTAGTAATCCGAGAGGAAATTCTCAAACTGGTCAAAACATCAAAAACGAACCAGCATCAGGAAATGGATTATTAGCCAATTCACTTCTCGTATTATTGGCAAGTGCAATTTTAGCATTTGCTGCAGGGAACAGGAATTAGGTAACATTGTACAAATAAGTTTAACGTGTAATTAACATATCTAGTTTAACAAATTGCTGTTACAACTTGGAGGAAAACATGTTTAAATTTTCATGAAAACATTTGAAAAAAATGAATGCCTAGTTGGATACATTGAATATTACAATTCTTATTAATTTCGTTTTCATCCTTGTCGTTTTTCAAAAATACTGCGGATTATCCAGTTCTTAAACTGATTTTTTAATATAAATTTAAACTAACAAAAGTTATCTTAAGTATTACCAAATTCAGTAAATAAATGATAAAACTTAAAAGATTTCCTAGCACGCATAACAGTTCTAAAATTTGATATTTATTAGCAACAGATTTTGTCCAAAAGGAAGAAACCTAATTGTTTACATATAAACAATTAATTCAAAATTTTAATAAATTTAGGGAAATCAATGTGTTATACTTTCTTATAAAATATAAGAAATGATATAATATTTCATTTAACGTGACAAGTTTTTAAACATATTTTTTTGTACAAGTTTTCAGTTTACTTTTTTGTTTCAACTTTTTATTTAAATGTTTTCCTTCTAGTTGAGACAGAATATGTTCTAAGTGATCAACATGACAGATGCCTTCTAAAACTTCTTAGTAGATGCTAATTAATGATAATAAATAACAAACACTAAAAGTTTTGAAAGCAAAATGAAAAATGTCCATTTCGTTTGATTGTTTATATGTACGATTTTGAAAAAAAAATAACCATGTGAATTAGATACAGAAATAATTAAGATGAAATAAATCATTAAATTTAATTCAATACTATTAGGGAATTGACCAGATATGAGGAATTGTGAAAAAAAAAAATTATATATTTTTAAAAAATAATTTCGAACAATTTTTGAAATTTTGACTGTTGTTTAAATTATGATAAAATTCTATCGTTAGTATAAAATTCGCAAATCTACTATTTATTTTAATAAATACTTATGTTAAATGTGATTTATATTTACAAGGAACTATCGTTCACAAGCTTAAATTATCACATTTAATTATGTTTTTAAAACAAATTTGAATAATATATAGTTATGTATTTAATCTTGATTAAATTTATTCATTAAGTTTTTAATTTTTTTATATTCAAGTTAAAATGTGTGTATATTAAGTAATATTTAATTGGTTTTGTTTATAATTTAATATAGATATATATTATTATAATTGTAGCTTGTATTTAACATTTAAATCTTAAATTATTAAAATAATTTTAAGAAATAATAAAAACCAAAAATATAATTTAACAATAGAAAAAAATTTAAAAATTCTACTTTTGTATATTATTGAATTGTTTGATGTTAATGATGTATAAATAAGATGAACATAAATTTAGGTTCAAAAGAGCTATCAAAGGATTTTAAATTAAAGTTTATGAAACTATTGACTATATTCGAACTAAAAATGTTAATGACATGAAATAAATATATCAGATAAACAATACATTTTGTGTGAACAATTATTAATCTTCGATTTCAAAATGAAATAGTACTTTGTCGATGATCGATCGACGAATATCGATCACCAAAACGTAGAGCCTAATTTATTAATAAAATAAATTAGGTAAATAAAACCTTATCTGGACTTTATTAATTTCTATGACAAGGTCTAGATGTAAACATGAATTGAGTTATAAAATTTAAATTATGTATATATGCAGTTGTGAGCAATGTGCAGAATGAATTTATGTGATTTTTATTATAAATAAAGAAGCAATTTATAAAATTTGTTTTTATTCAATTCTTTGTTCTTTCGTATAAACTGAAAACTTACGTTCCCGTCTATTAAAATTAAATTATAATTAATATAACAAAACTTATTATATATAAATACTATAAATAACACAGTATTTAATACAAATTTTATATTACATTATTTGTTCTAGAACAACCTATTATTGGACTAATTACGTCATTTTATACAATTTACTTCATTCACTAGTTAACAAATGACTAAATTTTTTTTATGACTTATTTATGAAGATAGTAAAAAACGCATTGTAGGATGAATTTGTAGTTTTAAAATCACAATGTAAGGTCATTCAGCATGCTCATGTTCACTTTGTTGTTCACTTACCTCATCTCCAGACTTATCTTTCTTAAAACAACCTAATTTATTTTTAAAATATTTTATAATTCCCCCTCTCGAAGCAGTAGATCGTAGTACTAATTGTTTTGTTGTAATATTATAAAGAGGTCCAAATGCTAAGGCCACCACAGTGCAAGACAGGCATATTACATTATATGGCATGGAAAAATCTGGTGTAGGTAATGTTATTATAAATGATTCAGTTCTTAGTTGTACCAAATAGCCTGAAAGTAGTAAAAATGTATGATGCCTTTATTGAAATTAACTTATAATAAAAATATAAGTAAATTTTAAATGTTTTGGATTTATAAATTAGTTAAATCAATATTTACCTGATCTAGATGCATTAAAACTTGATGAAATTAATGAACCATCTTGAGGAATAGCAGTAAAATTTTTAGCACTAGGTAGCAATGATGTTATAATTGCAGAACCAACATAAAATCCATGATTGGCATCAGGTGGATATTCTTGCCATTTTAAAAAAACGTAATCAAAGTCAAAGGATATCTCTGCTACAGACTTTTTTGGTATAGTTAAAAGAAACTCTAAATAATATGGTCTTTTGCGTTCTTTTCCAGGCACATATTTTAGAGCTTTTGGCTTTAGTTCCATGCCATTACATTTAATTTTTAAGGTATGTAAATACATGGGAACAAACCAGGGAATATTCTCCAAGAAAATAACATTTAAATCCGAAAAATGGTTGTTATATATTTCAGTCACCACACCACCATATTCTTGACCATATCCAATAATGTATCTGGTTGCATGAATTGGTGGAGAAATTTTTGGTGATAAAATTTGGGGTTTGCTATATATACCAGCTATATTGAACATTCCATTGAAATTCATATTTTTTATATCATACATAGATATATGTGCAATGTGTCCACCACGTTTAGAAATAAATTTTTTTGTTGGTTGAGGATTTAGTAAAAATTCTCTTGTATCATTATGCGTGGTATCAATATAAATCGCACTAGAATCAGCTAAAGGACAAGGTCCACTTAAACCCATACCGAACAATACTCTAAATGACCAATCACGACTCTTTAATATTAAAGGATCATGAACGAGAGACACAGTTTGCTTCAGTTCAATTTGTTTTTCTAAACATTTTTCGTTTTTACAAATTGGTCTGAGATGTATTCCCAAGGAGTGGTAATTGGTATTATGTATATTTGCAGAATTAAGTAGTGTGGCTAAGCCTCGCTTAGAATCACAGGGCAACAATTTTTTCCATGGTGTTAAGTTTTCTGTACATACTATTTCACGTGGTAAACTAGCATAGCGTAATAAACTAGAATTTATCTTATCATTCAAAATTCCAGTTGGTCGAAAACTATATTCAGGTTTTAAAGATTTTGACTCATCAATGAAGTTTAATGAAGCACATAGCAAACCTGATAAGGAACTTGCTAATTCTTTCCAGTTTTTATCAATATTTTTAGTTTCAGGTTCAAACCAAGCCCAGAGCTCAGCTCCAGGTGAAGCATGTTCAACAGGATATCCCCAGTTATTATAACGCCACAATCCTTCAGTCAATGATATGTGTAATTCTACTACTTTAAAACGGGCTACAATTTCACCAAGACCTCGAGGAAACAAATGACAATGTTCAACTGCAAATATATAAATAAATATATAATAGAATATATAGAATATTTCCTACATATATAGATAATATTTAAATACATTAATATTTGAATACAGAAATATTTCGTTATGTAAGAAATGTTAGTAAAAGAAACTTAAACAAAGAAACTTTAAAAAGGAAAAAGAAAAACAAAATGTGTTTTAGTACTTACAAGTGCCCGAATCCTTTGACCAAATCGTAGTGAACTGAAAATAAGAATACACATGGCCAGAAGCTAAAGGCTTGATAAGTAATTCTTCGTTAAAACTATCATTATAACTTGCACAACTAACACCAAACAAAAATGCCAAAAATAAAATGATGGAATGCATTTTTATTTTAGATTTACTTTATTAAATCACATTTCTTATTTATACATTTTCACTAAAGTCATTTATATGTATTATAGATTAATAATTCATATAGAATTTTGACACAAAACAGAAATATTTATTTTCACCATAACATTGAGGTTATGTTATATTAATTTGACAACTGAATCATTTGCATATGGCTGCACCAGAGAACAACATTGTGCAATCTGTATAGATGTCCAGCTAAGATCTTTAACTTCCATTTTTTTCGAAAATGTAAATGTAAATGTAAAAATTCCTATAAATGATGTCGAATCCTTGAATAAAATAAAATTAAAAAACATAAAAATATTATTTTTAAAGAATTTTTAGATGCCAAAATAATATGATCACAATGTGATCACATATATGAATATAAAAGCAGAAAAGTTCATCTTATATCAATTATATTAAAAAAATAAAAAAATTATCAAAACTTAATTCAATTTGATTTATTATCAGAATTTTGTGAAGTTCCTGGTTTCGGGTTATAATAGTTAATATCCTCAGCAGTGTGCACAGCTATTTCTTTCTCTGAAGCGATTGTTTTAGAATCAGCATTATCTTCCATTTCTTCCTCTTCAGCACCTTCTATAGCAATGTGAGTTATTTTATAATCAGATTCTGATAATAAACTTTCAACAATTTCCATTTCTTCTGCTTCTTCGTGTTGAAGATGCTCTTCTATTTGAGCAAACCGTATTCGATTTATTTGAGAAGTTCGCCCAAAAACAGTATGAATCTCTAAAGAGGTTTCATTGGAGTGCTCAAAAGGCAAAGTATGAGTTTTTTTATTCTGTGGCATCAGATAATATATGCAATGAATTAAAATCAATATAATTCCCAATAAAAAAAAGAATATTGCTAACGCCATGGGTATAACATGTTGAACATCTAAAATGAAAAAAAATACTACACGTTCGGAATAAATGTTGAAAAATAATCGATTTTCTTATAAAATAATAAAGTTATGACTCCTGGATATTATTAACATATAAGTAATATTTTTTGAGACTCTTACGTTATGTATACCTCCACATGTTATAGAATCCTCATCATATTGGCCAACTGCACCACAATTTAAATGACCATCACATTTTGTTTCAGAAGAAAGACAAAAGTTTTCTTCTGCCATGTGACAATAGACCTCTCTTTCTTTTTTGCAAATATTATTTGATTTAACATCTTGATTGTGTGAAATATATTTATTTTATTGTTAATATATCATAATATTAAGAATTTATGAATTTAATAATTTGTAAAATTATAATTAGTATTAATTGATAAACAACTCACGTCTAGCCGCTGTAGCAGTAATTTTAATAGAATCCACTAATGCCGTTCTGTTTAATTGTATTTCAATTAATGACTGCTCATTCAAAATAAAATTTAATATAGGTTCCAATTTTTCTTTTGCTGGTTTGATCATTTTTTGTATTTCACATAAATCAAACTCGAAATTTTCAATTTCATCTTTGACCTATTATATATAATAATATTATTAATGTTAAAATTATTGTTGTGTCAAAATAAATAAATAATGCCAAATGTTCACTTACTAATAGTTTTGAGTCCAAGCATTTTATAGTTTGATAAAGATTGGTAGCAAATTCAAAAATAAGTAATAATTTATATGGATATACAGTCTCAATTCTTATTGTGCAATTTCTATCATCAAATTTCTGTGGCAAAAGCATAACAGCAGAATCCGAAATACCCATGTCATATGTTAGAAATTTTGATAAGTTATTATAAAGTATACAATCACCACTTATGTCTGAAAGAATATGTGCAATAATTTATTTAAAGAAGTAAAATTTATTAAGATTTCTAATTAACAATACCTTCAAACGTTGACTTTTTATCTTCACTTTTTGCTTTTTGGCCTAATAAGATAATGTAAAGAATGATCAAGAAGAGCATGAGATTTTCCAATGATGAAGAACATATCAACAAGAGATTTCACGATAAATAAGAATCAGATAAAAATTATTAAATGTCAAATTGACACAAAAATCATTGAAATATTGATCTCTGATGTACGCGATATAACAATATATAAAATCGTATATAATAAATTAATTAGCTGTCGTGTTCAGTCATATGAATATGATATGATTAAGTAAGAATTCTTACTTCAAGTAGCATACAATCATACAATTGCATTGAAAATGAATCGTATGATTTTGGTTTAGATAAGTATCTTTAAATAATAAGAAAAGAAAGAGTATAAATGGCCAGTGATGGTTAAAAAATAGCATTTGTTATCTAGATACTAGAACTAAGATAAAAAATACCATAAGTATTTATTAAGAATTGTGTTGTCAATCAATACAGCTTTTTCGGAAAGGTGTACATTGAAAAAACTAGAAATGTGATATCAACTTTACATAAGCACATCCAAATTATTTTAGTACATTCATTTTTATGTAATTGAGAGGGCGACAGCTCGGTGAAACTGCTTATCATGTCACATCTATTTCGTATGCAAATGATTCTATGGTGGTTTTCGCAATATTTAATCATGCAGTGTAGCCACTGCGCTCTGAGTAATACTTTGGTAGTAAATATGGCTGAACGTAATTTTTAGTGAATAATCCGATTTCAGTGTAATGTATTTATTACCTATATGTTCGAAATAAAAGCTGCGTTCATTTTTTTTCCATCTGATATCGCTTCTCTAAAGGTACGTAAAAATATATTATTTATCAAAATTATTCCATTGTCATTTTTTTTAATTGCTTGCTCACTCCCTTTGTGCACATTTTAATTTAATTTACAATTTATAAATTAATTCTTGTTCGTAACTATTTTGAACTTACGATATATAACACTAATCATTCTTTTATATTCAACTTTACAGGATTCTAAATCTGCCAATTTTTTTCTCCTGGAATTAAATGACTTAAATTTATCTTTTCAGATTGAAAACCGAAGTTTTGATTCCGATGGCGACTATACTCCAAAAGAATGGTGTTAAACCATTAGCAAATGGTAATTCACTAGTCCATGCCCATGAGATGGCTCCTATCCAGGAGATGCCTGTGGAACAAGTGCCCAATGCAATTAGTACTGCAAATACAAATGCAGAAAACATGCCCCAAATAATGGAAGATGAGGAACCAGAAATAGATATTGTTATAAACAATGTGGTGTGCAGTTTTAGTGTGAGGTGCCATTTGAATTTACGTGATATTGCTTTAAATGGTGTAAATGTAGAATTTAGACGAGAAAATGGAATGGTGACAATGAAACTTAGAAGACCTTATACAACAGCTTCTATCTGGTCTTCGGGAAGAATCACATGCACTGGGGCTACTAGTGAAGAACAAGCTAAAATTGCCGCAAGGCGTTATGCAAGATGTTTACAGAAATTGGGATTTCAAGTTCGATTTCACAATTTTCGTGTTGTTAATGTCTTGGGCACTTGTTCCATGCCCTTTGCAATAAAGATAACAGCATTTTCAGAAAAGTTTAGAGACTGTGCAGAGTGAGTAGAAAACATAATTTTCTAAATTTTATTAACTTTCAATTTTAATGTAGAATCCGCATGTTTCTTTCTGTAGCAAGTGTTCTTATTAGTATATTCATCTCGTAATAATGCAAATTTTTTACCAATCTTATTCATATCTTGAATTGTTCAAAATTCCAAAAAAAATTGTGGCCCATAAACCATTTCTTAAACATGTCTACATTCTTAATTCGAATAGAATTGGGTTTTCAATTTTAATCAATCTTTACATAAATTTTATTTTGACACTTCTAATTATTTTAAATCTGTGGTTGAATGTTAAATTAAACTTTTACATTTGATTATATATAACTCGTTTATTTCTTTCAATTTTGAATACGTTTTCATAAGTTTTGTCTTACTCTAAATTTTTATCAGCTTGATAGTTTGTGTTTTTGATTATAAATTTTGAGCTCAAAATTTAACATGTATACTGATTTTATGAGTTTAAATGTTATTTTCATGCATAAAAGATCAAATAATTACATTTATATGATTTTATGGTTTAATATTATTATACTATATCAATATGTACGATTATTGTTATCAGGTATGAGCCAGAACTACATCCTGGTGTAACTTATAAAATCAAACAACCAAAAGCAACACTTAAAATATTTTCAACTGGCAGTATTACTGTAACAGGTTAGTAAGAATTGAATAATTAATACTGAATCATGTATATCAATAAATTGGCAAATTCAACAATCTTGTATTATTAGGTCATTCATTCTTATTGCAAATAACATAAGAATAAATAATAATGTATTATAGTCTAGTTTTTTAATTGTTTGTTTTAGCCCGAAGTGTAACTGATGTACAACAAGCAATTGAACACATATTCCCACTAGTTTATGAGTTTAGGAAAGTTAGGACTGCAGTGGACCAAGAGGTTTGGGATGCAAAACGTACTGCAAAAACATTAAAAAGAAGATATAGTGATACAAAATCACCCAGTGCAGGACTGGGTATTGATTTGAGTGATGAAGATCTCATTGATAGTGAAGAAGTGGATGATTGGGAATAAATCGTTCAACTTAGCCTTGTCGAACCACAAGTGATCGTAAACCATTGCTTATTTATATCAATAATTTAATAAACACTTAAGGGAGCCACTGCCTAAATGCGTTAAAGAAAAATAGGTATTTGATATTTGGAAGTATTTCGTGATAAAGTATTTTCAGACAACAATTTATGACCAAAACAAGTGTTTAAGTGAAAAGTGGATCATAAATAACTCAAAACAATTCATTTTGATTAACTTTAATTTATAAACTATTAACATATACCCGTCACAAAGATAAATCATAGATATTACGAATTTAAACCAAAGATACATATATACATATTTGGGAATATGGATCATTTTATTTTGATGTAGTTTATATATTTAGTGCATCAATTTTGACTAATTTACAGACAATCTTTCAACTTATTTTTTGAACAAGTTAACTGCCAAATGTTTGCAATTATTTGTTTAATATTTGAAATGTGATGAATGATAAAAAGAAATAAAAATAGTGTCTTAAATATAAATATACGGATAATCAATTAAAATCATGTACTATGTCAAGAAATGAAAAGTGAGTGCTTTAGATATCAAAATATAAATATTGTGGAAGTAAATATACAATACTAAGAATAGTCTTTGTGTTAAAAATAGGATCATGTGTATAACAATAAAAAATAGAATCGTATTATTTTAGTCAACCAGTAATAGTACATCAATTTTGTATTAAGAGTATTTAAAAATATTATTTGTAGTGATGAGCCTTATAATTTGTTTTCATTTTCTATTATCTTCATGTGAAATGGAATTGTAGTAGTAGAAACATATTAAATTGACCAAGAGATATAAAGTATCTAGCTCATTTATTGAATAAGTGTAGTCGTTTTGAAGTTCCCAATTATTATTGAGATCTTTCGTGTTTTTCTGACAACAATTTATGGTAACTGACTAAAGTTTTTGACGATTTATTAACTTGGGTTCAGTTTGAAGCTCTTGATGACAGAATGATACATATAATAATATATATATAAAAGAAGGCAATAATATTATAGTTTTATTAATATTAGCTAGTTATTGCAATATCAATAAATTTATTTCTGATACAAGCAATAGTTTCAGATTTTTGAAAGTTGAGTTTTCACTTGCATACTTTGCTTAGCAATTATTTTTACTAATTGCATTTTTTGAAGTATGCAATTTAATACTTTCTGTGTTTATTTTACAATTATTTTAAAGTGTTTAATATGAAAAAAAAAACTTATACTTTTGAGAAAATCTGAAGTCGTGATAAGATCAATATTATGTTTTCTTTTATATAATCTGATAATATGCTTTATCTAAATGAATGGTGAATGTATGTTTGAAAATGCCTGTGCCTATATTGACTGTTTCTATTGTTTTTTGCAATTATAATGTATAGAAGACTATTAATGAATTGTTCATGGATTTTTACAACATGTCTAAATAAAATAAATGTATTGCTTCTATACTCAAATTAGTAGATGTATGTATTATAACAGTTATTAATTTTAATTTGCATAATTAGAAATTGACTTTAAGTTTTAATATTTTATTCAGATGTAGGATGTAGTGCAAAACAAGTAACCTTAATTTCTTTTTAACTGATTTTATTATTTTTATCGTTGTTGGTTGTTCAAAGATAAAATATATTATTTCAAAAGACCAATGAAAATCTAATTAGCTATTAATATTAAGGTTTTAAATTTTATTATGATTCTAAATATAGTTTGGTACTAATATTTTAAAGAAACATGTTTGAATACATGGAATCATTCACTTAAAACTGTTATACATACATCTGCAAAAATATTATGTATTATGGTTTTTGTCATATGTATTTCCAATTACTATCCTAAAGAAGTTTCTAATAGTCTGTTTTAATGAAATATGAAATTTACTTTCATATTAATTAAATTAGATATTACCTATTATAAAAGCAATTAAAAAAAGACAAACATCAATTTCAATCTGTGAAAGCAATAACAAAAAAAACTATAAAAATGTCCTATACATTATTATGTTGTCTTATATACTTAGTTGTAAGTATTTCTGAAAAAGACAGCATTTGTTGTTTAGCACCAATGATTCTCTGTATATATTTAACGATATTTAATTCTATTTCAACTGAAAATTGCTAGACATGCCATAAAAAGTAAAGAATTTTAAAATTAAAGTTTTCGTTTTATCAATTGGCTGATTAAAAGAATTATAATTGTTTTTTTTTATCAAAATAAGTGCAATAAGGTTAATTGTTACATGGCTTGTCTGGTATATTTCGGGCTGGAAAACTTGACAGGTACCACCGATTATTATTTGTAATGAACTATATTCCTCTAACAATAAGTTAATTTCTTCTTTATTAAATTAAATATCAATGCATAGAATTTGTTAAATACTCAGTATTAGGCTTAGTTTTGTGGATGTCGAAATTACATGGGTATATCATGTGTATGTATATTATATATATATATATATATATATATATATATATATATATAATATATCTATTACACACACCTTGTAGTATATTTTATAATAGACTCCAGTATATAGCAATAGAAGTGCATCGAATATTTGTCTGAGATTTTTATCTAGCAATATGTCTGGAGTAGATTGTATCGAGACATATGGAAATGATTCTATATATATATATATATATATATATATATATATATATATATATATATATATGTCATTTTTCTAAAGACTCAGTGAAAGAATTTTTCATTGTTCCGAAACACATGACTGTTGAATTTTAAAAAATTATATGTGGTATTCCATAGTCCAGGATTAGTATGTTTTTATTTAATCTGAATTTTGTGATAATTTTATTATTTTTATGTAGTTTTCTGTTAATTTTCTTAATTAAATCTTGAAACTAATAGAATTTTTTTGTTATAATGTAATTAATATGTAAAAAATATATACTTTTTACATATTACTTTGAATGAGTTTTGAATTATAAATTAATTTGAAAACATACTTGTTCCAATTTTAAAATATGTAGTACTGTATATAAAATTTTCATTCAAATTGACATGAAATTGAACTGGTTTAAAATTAGAAAATAGAAAATATATCACTTATGTCAATTTGTTAAAAATAATTTGATATTAAAATTCAGTATAATTATTCAGTTTAGTACATAGCGCATATGATATCTTTAATTTGGAATTCATGACATTTTCATCTGAACTATATTAAAATTTTCATAAATTTTTGTATTTATTAGTTCAAATATTAAGTTAAATTAGTTTTTAGCATAGCAAAAGATTCTACAACCGTTGCCATTTGTTAGCTTTGCATCAAAGAAACATTCTAATGAATCTATGCTTATATGCATAAAATGCTTAAAAGTCAAATGTATTAAGTAAACAGTGTTATTTATTTAAATAAATATTAGTTTCAAATATCACTTATTATTGATTATTAAGTAATATATTCATTGTTTAAGTGTTTGATATTTGGGACTGATACAAAATAATGTGCCCGTGATACAGTGCTCAAATTACTAATTGGCCTTGTCACAACAAAGCATATATGTGTATCGGTCCTTAGTTCAATAAATTCGTTTTATTAGAAATATTTATGATATAATAAAGAGACTGATGCTCAGACACGTTTTACTCAAAATATTTTATTTGTATGAACAAACATCAAAAGTAAATTTTGTGTTAGGTCGAAAATAAGTTCTGATAGTAGCTTTTCACAATGTATTATTTATGTTATGGAAAACTAAGTTTTATGGAAATCAAGAATCTCAATGGTCTCGTTCACAAATGCCTCTTTATGGACTATTCCAATCATCGTACTTTTTTGAGATTAATAATCTACTTTTTTTATTTAAAAATTTTTAAGTTTTCTTTGTTTAAGGAATCAAGGTGTTGTGGTTTATCGAACCGTTCTAAGATCCACTCAAATTGCTTATATTACTGAAGAATATTTTTACCCTTCAATTCAGTAGATGAATTAAATCAGATAAAAATTTTAAATGTGAGTTTCTTAGAGAATATTTTGAGTAAACCGACGAGCAAGTTTTTTATAAATAGGAATAAAATTAATCACAAAATAATTTGAAAATATTGTACTTTTTGAAGTGTATTATAAAGATTTTGCAATTGTTTTAATTGCATTTCTTTTTTACGTCGATTTCGATGTATTACTTGGCCTTTGTCAAAAAAAATACGATCTGCGCGAATGGAAAATAAGTTTAATTTTAGCGTAAAAATGCTCAGAAAAGAAAATGATATAAGCACTTATATTTATATAAAAAATAATGTATACATATTATAAATATTATATTTAAGCCGCCAACCAAATAACATTGATTTAGTGTATTATATTTAGTTTCTGTTCGATTTTCATAATCAATATGAAAAAATAAGCCACATAGTTTAAAATGTGTTATGTGTAATAGACATTATTATAATTATTATTAATTATAGGAATAGGACAAACAATAATAATATAAGTATAAGCATTGAATAAAAGAGCTAATGTTAAAAAATTGTTAGTCATTTACAATTCCTGCATAATATGGTATGAGTTATAAAACATATTATTAAACGTTTTAAAATTGTGTTTTTTTAATCATAAATTGATCATAAATTATTTTCAAATTTGTAACGAACGAAGGTTTTATAAGGAGATGCTTCATTTTCCTCTAATTTATAAACTTTTTTTTATTTTGATATCTTAATTAATAAGAACTCTTATTAATTCAAAGTCAAAATTACTATTTAAATACTAATTTTGACTCAATTTTTATTTTGATCTAGTCAACGCGATATATTTCTCGATTCAAACGACTTTAAAGACCTCAAGACATAACCGGTCTAAAATATAAATCATTGAAAGTTTCTATACTTACATAATCATTTTATTTCTTATACATATTCTATTAACGATTACTATTAAAAATCTCGAATATTGCGCTTTTTTAGGTCTATAATAATAAGTTAGGGTTTATTTAATTGATCAAAGAATCTACTGGACATTTCCACCAAATAAAGTTTTATCAGTCAAAAGAATTTTGAATTATTAATTACAAAGGACGGCCACACGATTTTTCCAAATTTGGAGTCAAATGATTCAAATTGACTAAAAACGTTGAGAAAACATAAAATTAGCAATTTTGATTTTCTGACAAAATCATATTACTATAATATGGAAAAATATAGCATCGTCAGGAAGTTAAAAATCGCATTTATATACTGCGCTTTATTGCACATTTATCTAACACATTGCAGTTACCAGTAACTAAATTATACATTATATAGTCAGTAAATATGATAAAGTCTGATTTATTGCATACTTATTTACTTAACTAACCAAGCAAATAATTCTCAGAAGTTATACTTTTACTATATAATTAAGTATACATACTTCAATTTAATAAGCCAAATGTCCTAAACACCAAATTAAATAAAATAATGAAAAAACAGAGGCTTATGAATAGGGAAAAGCTCCTGAAATAAGATATAAGTTAAAACAATTCAAATCATATTAATCTTCAGATACTTGTGTAAGTTGCATAAAAAGTGAGCCAGTGGTAAGCTTTTTGTTTGTTCATTGAAAAAACGAATGGTGATATCAAGTTCAAACTTTTAACCAAAACATTTCGCCCCTAACAATAGGGTCGCCGACTTTCAATGTGAAAAAGAGTAGGTTTTTGGTTTTGGTCCTTGCATGCAGTTCTGTTGCCATGCTTACGCTCAATAGATCTGCGAAAATCACTTGCGCAGACGTCATGATTAAGCTCTCCCTACACAGTTTGATAAAATTACCGTGAAAATTGCCACTTCTATAGTGAAAGTCTAATATTATTTATATAATATTTTATCTTCGACATAAATATACGTCATAAACAATAAATAATAATAAAATTACGTGAAGAAAACTAAGAAAAGAACATTAACGGGTGACACTGTTTTTCTATATTAGATATATCAGATTTTTTAACATCCCGAAGTGATAAGTTTCGCCAAAATTGCTAATAGTTCCAATTAATATGTTAAATTCATATTTTGTCGCAATATATAATTAATAAATGCTAACTGTAAATATACTCAAACAATAGTCTCCATTTCTTTTACCATATCATATTTAAGTGACAAATATTTATTTTCAAATTTTTATATTATTAACAATGGACTTTGGATAACAATGGATATTCCGTAAATTAAAATTTGATCATATTAAAAGGCGCAGTACTTATTTTTGAGCTTCATTTATTGTAAATATTTAGCGAATTTTAAAAGAATTTTATAAACATTTTATAATTCATTATTGACTAAAATTAATTAATATGGTAAGATTATTTAAATAACAAAATACGATTATGAAAGAAATAGTTCAGACATTTTTTTATAAATTAAAATTATAGATATACTACAGCCAAAACATTTATTTAAAATTACAATAATTGTTACAACGGCTAAATAATATAACATCTAGTAACATTAATGAACAATAACATAAATATAAATAGAGTAAGCAAAGGATACTATTTACATTAATTGATATCCGTAATATAAAACAAAACCATATATTATTAATAATAAAATTAATAAGCAAAATAAATAAAATTTGTGAATAATAAAAATAATACTTGAAAAACAATAAAGTGGAATAAAAGCAATAAGTGACAGAAAATAATAAATATAACAAAATAACAATATTAAAAATGATAAGATAAGAATAATAATATTAATATTAGCGTTTTCGAATGGCTATTTATAAAATCATTGGGATTTTTTTGTCTTTTCGCTAAAACATAAGATAAGAACACCTCATGATATTGATCTAAAAGTGACTAAAATAATATGTTTATTGAAAAAATCTTGCGTAAAATTATACATAAACGATTCAAATCTAAAAAGTCAAAATAAAAATTATTTGGTTTGCCATAATTAATTAAACAAATATATCAATTAAACCAAAGAAAATAGTTTAGAAGGCTGTAGTATATCTATAATATTTAATTCTATTCTATAATATATATACATATACATATATATATATATATATATATATATATATATATATATAAATAAATCAAATTCTTTGCGTATACCACAACTTGGCACATGTAATAAAAAAAATGTCCAATATAGAATCTTATTGGAAATTCAAATTTGTATGAGTTAAATGCGCGATACAGAATCCAAAAATGAAGGGTATTCAAAGGGTATACAAATGTAGTATTAAAATACAATATATGACCAAATATGACCAAATATTGGAATCAATATGTCTTGTTAAAATGTGTATACATAAGTTATTTAATTTATCAAAATTTTATTTTAAATTGGACGAAAAAAGTCTTTTTTCCAATTTATATTTGACTAAAATTGATGAGTTCATTATATAACAAAATTTGATTAAAATGTAAAAAAACTATTGTGTGAAATTACACATAAATAATAATAAGGTGAAGAGTTGAGAAATAGTTTAGAGATAAAAAGTATTTCAAGTACACAATTAGCAAAAATTAATTAAATAAATATATCAATTGAACGAAGAAAAATAGTTTATAAGTGTACTACTTTATTTATTTAATTCTGTCCTATGTTAAATATATAAGAAAATCAAATTCTTTGCGGATACCACAACTCGGCACATACAATAAAAAAATATGTCCAATATAGAATCTTATTGGAAATTTAAATTTGTATGAGTTAAAGGCGCGATACAGACCCAATTAAAGAGTATTCTAAGGGTATACAAATGTAGTATTAAAATATAATAAACTATGATCAACTATTGAAATGAATATGTCTTGTTAAAATGTATATTTAATTTATCCAAAATTATACCTGCATCTTGTGATTCTTTAACAAAATTTATTTTGTTGTGATTGAATATTACATTCAACTGCACTGAATGATTGCGACATCAAGAATTTTCAATCATTGCTATTTACTAGTACATATAAACAGTTGATAAAATTAATAAAATACAATCTTATTGCGTTATCAAAAGATTAATTATATAAACAAAAATATATATAAAAACATATAGGAATTCCTGCCGTTAGATTGCCATTTTACAAAGCGCGGGGGCAGTGATTATCCGCCTTAACGATATCCTATACCAAAATGATAACAAACCATAGTACTATTTTATCAGTTTTCAAAATGCATTGGAAACAGAACACTTGAACGATCAGTGAAAATCTATTTTTTGTACAATCAACACGCCATGAAGTTGATTTGTGACAAACCCAAATTATAAACTTAAAAGTTATCCAGATAATAAATCTAATTTAAGTTTTGGGTGAGGTGTTAGTTAATAAAATGTACATAGCGAGATATAGTTAGGATTATTATTAATTAGGTAAGTGTCAACTATTCATTTATAAATCAAAACTTTGAAAAAATTAAATCATTTATACTGCAACAAGTAATGTTACTATTTTATACAGCTTTGCGAATATTTCATTAAAAGTTTTGATAATTTTAATAAATTGTATGAGGTTTAAATTAAACCAAATGCATTGCAAACAGATAAATTCGCGTCTGATGAAAAATAAATATCTATTCTTGCAATAAAAGCTGATAAATATATTTATAGAGCATTATAAATGCACCAAGTTAATCCTGTTGTTTCCGTCCGAAAAATACTCTGATTCTAAATTTGGCTATGGTAGTAAATCAAAATATTTTTTTTTCTGAAACTATGCAAGTAAATATTAACTTTTAATGGTGAATATTAAATTCAGATAAAATTCTTGAAAATCTTGCTAATCTAAAATTTAGTCTGAAACTTGATTTTTTTAGATTCATTTAATTTTTTAGCATTAATTTAATTCTTTTAGCTTTAATTATTTGTGGCTGTTAAAAATTGAATATAATTAATCCTATTTTAGTTTTAAAATTGGCTACTTTATTGTTACATTTTTATACTAATTGAATTTAATCAATCGTTGGATATTGATTTGGATAGTAATAAAAATGCCTCGTATAAATGAGTATATATATAATAATTATATATATTAATATATGAAATATTTTGTGGCACTTTGTCATCTGAGTTGGCATGAAAGAAAATTTAATTTATGAAAATACTGCCAAATAATGGTAAGATAACGACTTCAACTTCATAGATAAACAAGTATAAATAATATATGGAATTATAATAACTTCTAATATTATCATTTCATAATATTTGTCAAATGCACAAAGTCTATTATCTCTATATAATAGTTTAAAATTTGAATCAATTTTAACGAGAATATAATTTTTATACCTACTTCAAATTGATTGAACGCTTGATTAAAATCATATCTGTATGACTCAATAAGTTTCTAATGTGATATCATCGTACAAAATCAGTTTTTAGAGATAATCATTGGAAAAAACTTATCAAAAATTATCCAAAAACAATAAGAGAAAAAATGATTATTAGAAGATTACTATCTTTTTACAGTTAGTACAAATCCACAGACTCGAAGTAATAAATTAAAGTAATAACATTTCTTTATATTTGATAAGCAATTAGAAAATATTTATCTCCTTCAAGACATCAATCAATTTTCTAGGAAAATATTATATTTTCTTTTATTATTATATTTGATAAACACAATTTGAAAATATTTATCTTCTTCAAGACATGAATCACTTTTCTAGGAAAATATTATTAATAATATACTTTCTTTTATTATTATATTTGATAAACACAATTTGAAAATATTTATCTCCTTCAAGACATCAATCCATTCTCTATGATAAACACAATTTGAAAATATGTATCTCCTTCAATCAATTTTCTAGGAAAATATTATTGATAATACATTTTCTTTCATTATTATATTTGATGAGCACAATTTGAAAATATTTATATCTTTCAAGACATCAATCAATTTTCTAGGAAAATATTATTAATAATATTTTCTTTTATTATTATATTTGATAAGCACAATTTGAAAATATTTTTCTATTTCAAGACATCAACCAATTTTCTAGGAAAATATTATTAATAATATATTTTCTTTTATTATTATATTTGATAAACACAATTTGAAAATATTTATCTCCTTCAAGACATCAATCAATTTTCTAGGAAAATGTATTATTTTCTTTTATTAACAAATCAAGAAAATACAAAATGAAATAGATAACTATTGGATCATTGAGATTGAAGAGATTGAACTCTACTTTAAATATAGTCTTTTACTAATCAAGCATAAATTGATGTTACAAACAGTTGGTTGAATATGAAAATAAAATAAAAAATGCAGTAACATTTTAATTTAATATTTTTTTTAAAATTATACTGAGTTTATGCATTATTATAGAGGTGGTAAAATTACCTTTCTACAATAACTCTATTGAGTTCAGTTAATGAAAAGAGGTTAAAGCAAATTTTAGATCAAAGTAAATTTCAGACAAAGAACCCCATTATAACAAAATCTAAATCCAATAATTTTATATATAGGTTTAAATTATATATACCGAAATTGAATTTTATGTAAAAGTAATAAAATTTATATCTGTTGGTATGGATAAAGCCCAATTATGCTTTTAACTAGTGATGGCATAGTGCAAATTGGTGGAACTTTCCCTAATGTAATAAAATATTCGAGGAATACTTAATGTTTTCAAATACATTATTATAAATACTGTAATTTTCATTCTTCTTGTTTTATAGACAAAATATAAAAGCTAATGAATTAGACGACGATGTTTACAGAAAAATAAATAAATAAAACTTCAGATCAATCAATCGGATTTAAAATGAATTACATTGTCTAATATTTATAAGAATTATATAAACTGAATTTAAAAATTTAGGCAAAGTTAATTAAATTTATTTGAAGTATAAAAGAGAGCCTCAGAACTTTAGCTAACAATAAAATTAAAATCCGAATTATTTTCAATAAAAAAAAGATGAGAATTTTGAAATAAAAAAAATCTTTTCGGCAATCGTTTCGGCGACACAAGCAGAAAGTCTTTTGAATCAATCAAATTGGATGCTTAGTTTTTTCAAAAACTGCCATTTTTTGCACATGTAGCTCCTTATCTCCAAAACGGTTAGACCTGCCTTTGCCAAAACTAATCACAACTTCTCCCCATCATTACAAATTTAATGTTTTTTAGATCATTCAAATCGGATGCTGTGTTCTCTCAAAAACTCGATTTCTATTTTCTGCATCTTTGCTCTGCATCTCTGAAATGGCAGGACCTGCCTTTGCCAAAAACTATTCAGCACATCTTCCTATCAATAAGAATCGAATGTTTTTTGAACCATTCAAATATGTGCGCCCAAAAACGTGAACAAAAATAGTTTCCATACATACACACACACACATCAAATTATTCTAGGGTATGCCAAAATGTTCAGAAACCTTCAAAACGTGAATATATACAAAAGTTCTCAATATCTACTTTTAGACGATTACAATAACTTACCTACGGGAAGATAAAAATATAAAATGATTGCAAATATTATTCATGATTTAATGTTCTAATAGAACTAGTTGTTATTCAGTTTAAAAATCATTCCAAAACAACTGCCTTCAGTATTTTCAATCTATATTATTATGTTATAAATGACGATAATACATATAGATTTAAAAATATGCTAAGTAATTTACAATAAATTTTTTGAATGAAACTTTGCTCTATCAATCATATGATTTATATGAATGAATTAGCTACTATTATAAAATAACCTTCCTTAATAGCTAAGAACAGTTTCATGTGTTGCATTCTCCTTTTAAATTTTATCATGGATTAGCTTCGAAAATAATAATAATAAATAAATATTAATATAATCATTGTTGTATTGTACGAACTGAACAAGATCCTGCACTTGTTATTATAATATAAAATTATTAGTTCTTGATCGATATTTGATTTCTTTAAATAATTTCCGCATTTGAATAGCAACGATTTTAAACACTTTATCTTTAGCATTTTTATGCATTATAGAAAATAATAATAAAGAGGAATAATAAAATTGTAAAGCAGTTGCAGCAAAAGTATTGCCACATATTTTGAATTTTTTATGAGAAGTCAGAGCATCGAACAAAGTAGAAGCTTAAAAAAATAATACAAGAAAAATTTTGTATTTTTATATTTATTATAATCTTAAGAACATTGAAAGGAGCAAAATAAGCTCTAAATGGACACAAAATCAGGCACAAATAATGCATATTTGCATTACATGTTATTACTTTGCATCTATGAATGCTTAAATATGTTGAAATAATTTTAGCAAAGCTTTTAAAATATTATTTTACTTCACGTTTTATGACTTTTCTCTCAGAAAGCTTCCGATGACCTAAATAATTAAAATAAAGAAAATTTTGTATGAACTCTCTTTACAAACTAACTATTCATTATAGTGTAGTTGGTAATAAATTTTATATTTATGTTTTGCGTCCGCACGTATTCATCGTTAATCGTAAATTACATCCCGAGTGCGATAACATTATTATTATTTGGAAGAAGGTCAAAAATATTATACAATAATAGCTTAATAAATTTAAATGCTGAAATAAAAATGACCGACATGCTTTATACGAGAAGAATAAACGTAATATAGGTGGAATGGATAAGTGCAACTAGTTGGTATTGGTATTTTGCCTTGAGGCAAGTTACATGAAGTTCCCAATGTGTTTAAATGATCGAAATCAATAAAAAATAAATTCATTTATGAGTGATTAAAAGTTTTCCGAGTAGATTTATTACACATAATTGAAAACAAACGAAAACGTTAATTCGGAGTACTTGAGATTTTCTCAAACTTTGATGAATTTTTAAAATTAAACTACTTGTCGTAAGGCCGTAATATTTCAGTATGTTCTTGATCATGATATATATCGCCAAAAAAATCAGCTTAAAATTTTTTTTCAACAGTTAATTACAAGAAAACAGCTCGGTAGATTTTCACCAAAAACTAATCAGTGTAATTCCCAACTAATATCTTACAAACAGTTTTTGATTTTTTCAAATCAATTAGGTAGTATGAGCTTAAATGTGCACGAAGAGTTTAACACTTTTTTTCCAAATTACAAAGAAACGGCTCGGCAGATCGTCGCACAAAACTGACAAACGATAGTCCTCATTGAGATACATCAAATGGTTTTTGAAATTCTGAAATCGGTTCAGACGTTCTTGAGAAAAGGTCGATCAAATGTCTAATTTTGACAAATGCCAAAAAAACGATACTAATTTTTGCAAACTTTGAAGAATTTTTATAATTAAACAACTTGTCATAGGGCCGTAATATTTTAGTATAATCTATAAGACTATGGTAAATAAAAAAATCATAATCATAAAAAATCATAAAAATCGTCGAAAATTTTTTAACACTTTATTACAAGAAAACGGCCCTGCCGATCTTTAGCAAAAACTAATCAGGTTGATTCCCAACCAATCAATCAAACGGTTTTTGAATTTTTAAAATCGAATCAGAATTGCGGGCTGTTCACACACACACACACATACTTTTTCCAAATTGGGTCTCATTCGATTCAGAATGGCTTGAAATGTCGGGAAAACATAAAATTATCGAATCGGATTTTTTTATGAAAACATAAACTTCTCCTTCGGGAAGTTAAAAATATAAATCAGTAAAAGAATTATTAGGTTTTACTGAATTGCTATTTTTTTTTTATTGTTTAAATCAATACTGTCTGGCCCAGCGGCATATCACATACTAGTCCCGTATAATTGTTTAAAGCTACTCCAAATTAGCCCAGGTTTGCTGGTTCGATTCCGACTAGCGGCAAAGCTCGACATCAGGCAGCTTTGATGTCAAATTTCTACTTGAGGTTATAGATCTCAAATATAGCCTCAGGTGAAAATTGCCTCTCGAAAATTGTGGGTATAGCTGCATATATGCAATAAAAACATTTGTCACAACTGGATTCGACTACTACTGGGTTGCAATCCATTCGATAATCCATATAACAAATTCAAAACAATTGCTGAATGTCAAAAGTGAGTTTTATATTTTTTCAAAACAATATTCGAAACGCAGAGTAAATATCATATTCTCTGCGTTATTAATTTTAAGCTAAAACTAAAAATTTCAAGTAAATCGTATCAAAAAAAGAGTTTCAAGAAAAACCCGTTCAAAATTTAGCAGAGGAAGGAAACAGAAGCGGATATTATCGTGGTAAAGCAACGATATCTCCAAAAATTATTTAAATTTTTGAAAAGTCCTTTTGTACCCATGTTCTTAAATAGTTGAACTTTAAAAAGATTTAAAAAAAACGATTTTTTAAAAAACTCTAGACCATTCATTTAAATCAGTTTAAATTATTCAGACATATTGTAATTCATATAAATTGTAACAATTTATATGGCAACAAAGCTTGAATAAATGTAGACAAAAATGTTATTTTCATATAAAAACTATTTTAATCTTGTCAGCAGTAAACGGAAATTGTCACATCAGCATCCTTAAAATATCAAAAGATAATTGGTGCATATATTTGAACTAAATTGAAAACAAGTCTCTGGAACTTGTATTTGTGAAAAATAAGATCGAATAATATTGTAATATTAATATATAATTGAAATTTAATAAGTTATTACTAATTTGCTGTCCTATAAAATAATATAAAATATACATTGTACTGCTTTTACTCAATTTTTGGATAAAATGAAATTTTTGGATTGATTACCTCTATTATTTCATTACCCTCAACCCATTCTTAACCTCTAGTCTGGATATCCAATTATTAACAAAGTTTTATAAAAAAAATGAGTCTAACAACTGACAAGATAATGATAAGTATATAGAACGCATTTGGATCATTAAGAAAAAAAATTGTAAATAATAAGTTATAAATGGCAACGTCAAAGCTTCAGAACCAAAAATTATGCTACATGCTGTAACAATATAATTATATACCTAATAAACCCCTTGATGTACAAAATTTCACAGCCTGAGTTTAGAAGGAGATTTGATCAAATTCTCAAAAATAATGTATAAAGTTTTTCTCTTAGATATATCGTAGTTTTTGAAATAAAATGAATTTATACAATAAAATCATTAGTTCATTTTCTATGTAAGGCAATCTCTAAGAAAGTTTTGCAATTTTTCATGTATTCAATTACAACTAAATTCATTTATCTTATATGAACAATAATGTGATATGAGATATTTTAAATTAATGCGGCTAATGTTATTATATATTTATTATAACATCGATTGTATTGATGTTTTTATTTGCATATTTGGCGCCTTCCAGACTAATATGACAAGACAGAGTTTCAAGTTTCATTAAACTATTTGGTGGTGATATTAAATGAATAATTTGCAGGTCAATGTACGTAATTGAATTTTTTTTTTAAATTCTTGTTCGATATTTTTTTTTTTAAATATTTAAGCTTCAGAAAATGGCAGTACGTATAAGTTTGTATTTGTACAGAAAAAACATAAATATTGTAACATTTCATGCATTGCTAGTTTTTTTTTTGTAAAGTTTTTTTTTTTATAATATTACTATTCGATTTTAATACTTATCTTGGATCTATATAATAAATTATGTTCTAGACTAGCAATTTTTTAAATATTTCTGCATCATTATTAATTCCATTATATTTCAATTTAGGATGGAACCTCTATTGCCTCAGACACAGGTGCAAATTTTGCGAAAACGACAAATAGTGCCCGGATCAGGACGAAAATGTTATTTTTTACTAGGAATTGTATTCATTTGTTCTGGGCTTATATATATAACAGAAATCAACACAATATCACGAAGCTCGCGATATCTAATGCAAACAAATGAAGGAGATGAGGTTGGTAAAAATTTCTATTTGTAAGAAAAAAAAATAAACTAATTTGAATATTTTGTATTAAAAAATCTGTATTTTCATTTAATTTTTCTTTGCACCTCAGCCAGATTAGCTGACCACTCGATGGAGTGGCAGCTATTGAAACTTTTAAAATTCAGCCAATTTATTATGTGTGTGTGTATGACTGTGTGTGAGTATGTTTACTGTGTGAGTGTGTTTATAACATAAGCATAATAGCTCATAGAATTTTGTAAATTCTGATTGCTATTAAATAAAGTATAAAAAAAAAAAAAAAAAAATTTCTTTGCAGGACACCAGTGAGTCTTTACCTTCGCCTGGTTATTTGGTCAACAACGAAGGTTGCAAAATGCCATCAATGGAAGCATTTAGTTCTATTGTTCTACCTTATGTTCATAACGTATCAATAAAAGATTGCACTGATAATGGTGTGAACCCGATTAGAATTGAATCTGATGATAAGACTGTTTATTTAACGCCGATATCTTTCGATAAGACAGGTATTAGATTTCAACTTTGACTTGTTATTCTCTAAATCTTAACAATGGCTTTCTTACATAAGTATGGCGTTTGGTGGTATCTATATTGTTCTGAATGGTTTTATCAAAAAATCAATGCATTCATATGATTACGAATTGCGGTGATAGGTGATACCCAAAAATCAATCGATTTTAACACTTTGGGGACGGCTGTCCACGTCAGTGGACAAACATACTCTGTGAGGCACAGGCTATTTTATAAACAATGATTCAGTTTGCATTGAAAAGTTGAATAAATTACATATAGCAGTGATAAACAGTATTGTATTTTGAAAATAATTTTAAATTATTTTAGTAGTATTTTTAGCCTTTCTCTTTGCTATATGGTCTTTGTTTAATATTTAAAACGACCGAGCTCTTTTAAATATGGCAAAACGACTGGTAAATTTTGTGAATTAAGTAATAGTGAAGATGAGTTCCAAATAGACATTCATACAGACAAATTTTACGAAATTACTATTCGCACCGAACAGTGGCGGATCCAGCTTCGGCGTCAGGGGGGGGGTCATAATTGAAAAATGTTTATAGTCCTCAAAGAGTATGTAACAAAATTACTATATATACGAGGTCTGTTCAAAAAGTACCCGGAATTTTCGTTTTTTCAAAAAAATATTTATTTATTCGTCTACATTAATGTGGTCCCCTTCAAAGTAGTCCCCCCCAGATATAATACACTTATGCCAGCGTTTTTTCCAATTTTCGAAGCACCCTTGATATTCACTTTTTGATATGTCCTTGAGCACTCTCAGCGATTTTCTTCAATCGAGGAAAACCGCCGTCCTTTCATGGGTCTCTTCAACTTTGGGAATAGGAAAAAGTCACACGGAGCCATATCTGGTGAATTTTTGCACTTTGCAACACTTTATTTCATTTTTTACGCAAAATTTAATACAAATTCTTTGACTTTTCAATTCTTCCATTGTAAAAATCGCCGAGCTCAAAAAAACACGTCGAACCTTAGCGACTACCACAGACAAAGTAAACAGTGAATATAGCTGAACATTTCATCATACTTTAGGGGCATGTATACCAACACAATAAAAAAAAAATTTTGACAATCAGACACTCCAGACCCGCGAAATTTAATTATTAGTAATTCCGGGTACTTTTTGAACACACCTCGTATATATATATATATATATATATATATATAAGATAGAGCGGGGCTTCGCGGGTAAAAAGGTCCACCACCTTTGTTGTTAAGGATTTCTTAACAACAATATTTGAAAGTGGAAGGAAAAATGTACAACTAGCCATCACCCTGATTCTTACGACGTTAAAAGAAGCATTTTTACAAGAGATAAATTAAATAAATATTTATTTCAAATTTGCTGGTGAATATTTTGGACAAAATATCAAATTAAGGTTATATATAGAGTTATCTCTGTAAAAATGTATCTATAAAATTCATATTTTTCATTGGTTGAATAATGTAGCTAAACCCCTTTAAAATAGTAAATTGGATTGTTTGTCCTCTCGCCGTCCGTTTTTACTCCGTCTATGGGGTAAAAAAGACCAAGTGACAAATTTTTAAAAAACAGAAAAAAACACATTTTTACAGTGATGAATTAGCTGGAAGTTGGACTAAAACATAGTCAGATGCTTTTTATTTGATGTGTCCTATTGGTTGTTATGTTTTTTGTTTAGTTTTCATAATATAATTGCTCAAAGTTAAATTGGACCCGCGTAACCTTATATATGTGTATTTTTTTAAAAATAATCTGCGTCTTTGACGTGAGTCAAATTTTGACCTTTCCTCGACGTTTTCTCGTCTGAACCGATGTTAAAATTTAAAAACTATAAAATGAAACTGGATATTCGATTGATATCATTTGGAAATAAATGGTTTCTGGCGAAGATCGGTCAAGTCGTTTCTTTTTCATAATAGGTTGTCATTTTTTTGCGATTTAAGTGAAACTTTACATGGCGATAGAGTTTCTGCTCTAAATGAACGTACTAAACTAGGCCTGCGACAAGTGGTTTACTTATGATAATTAAAGTTTTGGATTATTTTCCATCAATGTGTATTATTCAAACCATTTTTCAAAAATCACTACTATATTTGAAAAAAATTGCAATAGTTTCTCACTTCAAAATGGTTTACAGCGATGAACAAAACGTGGACAAAAAAATGCGGACATACAAAATACACACACACACACACATATCAATTTTTTCTGAGGTATGCCAAAGTATTCAGATATCTTCAAAACGTCGAGAAATGCAAAAAAATTCATTCAAATCTAAAATGATTTTTTGCATTTCTCGACGTTTTGAAGATATCTGAACACTTTGGCATACCTCAGAAAAAATAGATGTGCGTGTGTGTGTATTTTGTATGTCCGCATTTTTTTGTCCACGTTTTAGGGCGCACATATCAACCGATTTGAATGGTTCAAAAAACAATCGATTCCTATTGATAGGAAGATGAGCTGATTAGTTTTTGGCGAAGGCATGTCCAGCAGTTACGGAGATAAAGAGCAAAGAGTGCAGAAAATAGAAATCGAGGTTTTGAGAGAACGGAGCATCCGATTTGAATGACATAAAAAACATCCAATTTGTAATGATTGGGAGAAGATATGATTAGTTTTTGGCAAAGGCAGGTCCTGCCATTTCGAAGATACAGAGACAAATCTGCAAAAAATTGTAGTTTTTGAGAGAACTGAGCGACCGATTTGAATGATTCAAAAAACTTTCTGCTTGTTTTGACAAAATAATTGCCTTTGAAAAAAAAATGTTTCAATTTTTTTATTTCAATTTTTTTTTGTATATCGAAAATAATTCAGATTTTAATTTTAATTCTGACTTAAGTTTAAAACTTATATACTTTAAATAAATGGTTTTAACTTTGCAATTCAGTTTATATAATTTTTATAAATATTGGACATTGTTACAGTATTTTTAACAATCTATTTGAAAACATTTAATATTCCTCGAACATTTCGTTACGGTGCGGGTAGTTTCAGCAATTTGCCTTAAGGCACGATGTCATACACCACTATTTTATATGTTGATTAAGTCGTCTATTAATAGGATTACTGAAAGTTCATGCATAAAGGCCACTCACAATCAGTTTATTTTTTTGATTTTTGATTGAATTTTTTTTCCTAAACTGTAATAAAACATATTTTCGCAATACGATTAGAAAATCCTTAAATTTTAGGGTTTTTGATTCCGCCATTCGTCTACAATCAGTTAAATATTCGAGTTGTAAAATATGTTTGGTAACAAAATACATAAATAAGATCATTATGAAGTAATTTTGTTGTTGAATTAGTGTTTTATCTAAGTCCTAAAACAGGCTCAGGGGGGGGTCATGACCCCCGTGACCCCCCCCCTGGATCCGCCACTGGCACCGAAGATAGTGTTGAATGTGATGATGATATTATCCAACCAATAAAAAGAAGAAGTTCGACAAAATAAATGAAGAGCGGGAAGACATTAGCGAATGTGCCGATTCTCCTTCAATAATCGAGTTTGACATACATCAACAAACACCCCTACTACAAATACCAAGCAATATAAGACATCCAATAGATTATTTTACTTTATATTTTATAAATGAATTATTAGACAATATAATAGAAAAAATAAACCATTATGGCAGCAAAAAATGTTCAAATATACTGACTAATCAGTGGCATATTCTAAATTCTTAAAGAAAAAGGGATTGTATTGTCTGTTCTGACAGAACAGCACCAGGAGGAAGGCGGCGAACAACATTTTATTGTAAAACATGTCAAAATCAATCATCAATGCATTTTGGAAATTGTTTTGAACGTCACCATTCTTTATAAAATGATCAAAAATAAATTAATATTAAAAATGTATGTCCTTCAATGACCAAATTTTTATCAAACAAATTGCATAACATACGCAATGAAATCAAGTTTACAGCCGGTAAAGTAGATTGTTTTAAAATTGGTGCCGTCCCGAAAGTGTTAATAGAACCAATCTTGAAAATATGCTTATTATTATATTTTTTTTAATACATTTTCATCGGTGATTAAATCGTGATAAAGGAATTACATAATTATTTAGTTAACATATTATAAAAATATCATCAACTTAAAATAATCTTAATTGTATTTTGATTAAGGTTGACCTTCCCACGAACAAAGCAATGGCTATAAACTGTAGCCTATAACGGCAACTATAAAATGCATATATTATATTAAATCTAAAACATGTTCTGAAATTTTTATATTGGCAGGTAACATATCATTGGATGTAACTTGCTGCTACAAGGAATTTGAAAGAGAAACCAAGGATTCCGAAATGTCGGACCGAACAGTAAGATTTCACGAATCCTGCCAGCCATTTGAAAATCAAACAGATGTTGGAAATGCTGAGTTTATTAAAGTCATTTGCAAAAATGAGAAAGATAAACCCGAATTTACAGACTATCACTCATTTGTGCCTCTTAAATCTGATGTGGAACAACGATGTTCTAAAGGTGATACAACTGCTAACGAACGAGTCAGTGTATTGATTTTGGGAATCGACGCTGTATCAAGACTGAATTTTTATAGAACTATGCCGAAGACTGTTAAAGCTTTGAAAGACTTAGGTAATAATATAATAATTATAATAAAACATCCATTAATTACAAGAGACTAAAAAAAATTTGTAAACATTATAAGTTTTTATATTTTTCAGAGAACTAAAAATTAATTTTAATTATTTTTTCTTAGGTGGCATAGAGATGTTAGGATACAATAAAGTGGGCGACAATACCTTTCCGAATCTAATACCAATTCTAACTGGCATGAGCGTTAATGAACTGAAAAAGGAATGTTGGCTTTCTCCCGAAAGTTATTTTGATCCTTGCCCATTCATTTGGAAGCAATATAAAGGCGCAGGATATCGGACAGTATTTGCAGAAGATGCTTCCTGGATGGGAGTATTTCAGTACCAGAAAAATGGATTCAAATACCAACCAACTGATTACTACTGGCAACCCTTTAGCTACAAATCAGAGTCGGATATCGGACATGAAAAACCTATGAATGCAAATATGTGCGTTGGTCCTAGGTTGACTCCTTTAAATTTGCTTAGTTACGCAAATAAATTTGTGAATAGATTTCATAATAAACGATACTTCGGTTTGTTTTGGGAAACAAGTATATCTCACGATGACGTGAATTACCCTCAGATGATCGATGAGTACTATGAAACATTTATAAGAAATTTGTATAGAAATAATTTAATGAACTCCACGATTCTGATGGTTTTGAGTGACCATGGTATTAGATGGGGAGATTTGAGAAACACATATCAAGGAATGGTGGAAGAACGGTTGCCAATGCTGAATTTTATTTTGCCAAAATGGTTTAACGATATGTATCCAACAGCAGTTGCTAATTTAAAGAAAAATGTGATGCATCTCACTACGCCTTTTGATTTGCATGAAACGCTGCTGGATTTGGTTCATGCAAATGAGCTGACAAATGAAAATGTAAGTATAATTCTAGTAAATTGTCATGATAAAATTCGCGCCCATTGTTAAAAATATATTTAATTCACGCAATTTTAAAACGATAAATGTTAAAAATTATTAAATTAAGAAATATCTTCCAAAATTTTGGAAATAAAGCTTGATATGATTAAAAAATTGGAATTATTCTCAAAGCGAGGTGCAAGAAAAAAAAAAATAACTTAAATTTGTTTCTTCTTCAGGTTCGTTCCAGAACAATTAAAATACAAGAAGACCCACCACGGGGTATCAGCCTGTTTCTCAAAGTTCCAACTTCCCGAACGTGCAACGCGTCAGGAATCGAACCCCACTGGTGCACCTGCCACGACAGTAGCCCAGTTGACATAAAATCTGGTCCGGTTCAAACTGTTGCCTATTACATAGTGAATTCTTTAAATAAAATATTATTACCATATAAATTGTGTTCAAATTTGACATTAGATGCAATTATAGATGCTAGCGCGGCCGGTTCGCCTGGTCATCTTGTAGTTAATTCGCCAAATATTATAGATTATACCGTGGTCCTAAGGACAATACCAGGTTTAGCATTATTTGAAGCCACAGTGAGAGATAATAATGGCACTTTAAGTTTAACCGGACCAATAAGTAGGACGAATATGTATCATGATCAGAGTAAATGTGTGCATGATTATAGAATGAAATTGTACTGTTTTTGTATATGAGACAATATTAGATAAATCAAATTTGTTATCTATTAGTTAAGATACTCCTCAAATAAACGTTCTGGCAACTACGTACTAGATTTTTGCTAGACATATTTGAATCTAATATGGAGTATTAATAATTACTAGTAATTTACAGTACGACGTTGCAATAAAACAATACATTTAGACAATACAAGCGCGTTTGAAAAAATTAATAGTCAAATCAATTAATTAACTTAATAATCAATCAATAGTCAAATACGTGTAATGAATACACATGTTATTTGTTTTTTTGCTTTACTTAGAAGATTTACAATACCAATTAACTGCAACATCACATTTTCGTGAAAATTCATATACATTCAGTAAAAAAATTGTAACGTATAATCTTAGAGAATCCGGCGCGATAAAATCGAATGAATTATTTTATAAAACTTTTACGCACCAAATATTCAAAATATTAGGATGGTATTTTGGTTTATTCAACGTCGTAGTGAAACACACTTCGACGAAAGAATCTGCGACATCTTCTATGGGATGAATCGAATATAAATTCAATAATTCACGTTATATTTTTTATGTTTAGCAAAATTGTATGAATGTAAGCGTTACTTTACCTACTTTAATTCAAAACAAATAATGTGATTACATAACGCCAAACAAAATGTATAATATTATGTGTATTATTAGATGTTACCGTTATGAATTTATATAAATAATCATTAATAAGAAAAGTATAGTAATTACTATATATATTATAATATATGTTATAAATATGAGCTACTACATATAGCCATAAATTCTTAAAATGACTTACCCTTCGTGATCCACATTTGTATCAACCTATATCGTAGTTGAGCGTTTCTGTGATATTATTTAATTATTAGTTGTATAATAAAATGATTGTTCCAAAAAAACTGATGTAGTTTTTAGTCCTTTCGTAATGTTTATAGCCCTTTCACGTATCTGTCTGTAAAATTTAATAAAAAAAATCAATAAAACGTTCTATAAACCAGAACTCCAAATTAGCTACAACACTAGATTCAACAAACCGAACTGTTTAGATCAATATGTCATGATTACTTATGATCCCTTTCAATAAATATCAGTTATGCTTTCGAAATGTTGACATATTTTTATAAATACGCCTAATATTCAAGTAGCAAAAATCATAATGATCAAGAAAATCTATGTTAAAATACCTAATAATAATTAATAGTTTATATAACACAATAATAATAATTTTTACTGACGAGTAGAAAAAAATTGTTATCTTACGCTAGAAATAAAAATATAGCAAATTGTGTTAAATATTAGACATGTTAATTTAAAATGTATGGTGAATATTTAAAGGTATTTTTATGTACTTATATTAAACTAATAAATATCTAGGTTATTGTATACTTACATTATTGTCATTTCTTCTTTTTTATCAAAACGGGAATTGATTTGATTGCAGTTGATATACTTACAGTGGTTCCAATTCATATTATTAAGAGAAGTTATTTTAATTGAATTTCTTATTATTTTTTCTTTGGCAAACAACTCTATATCATCAGTTCATGTTACTTTTACCCGTTATTGAATGGTGAATTGGTTCCTGTATCCAATGTAGTTAAATATCTGCAGATTCCCATGGGAATACATTTGGATAGGAGACTAACCTGATATGAACATATACTTAAGAAACGTCAGCAGCTCGAATTAACACGTAGGCAATTTAATTGGTTAATGGGCTGGAAATCACAAGTCTCATTAAAAAATAAACTCCTAATATATAAGACAATTATTATACTAATATGGTCCTACGGTCTACAACCAGTAAATCAAACATAACTATTCTATAGAGGTTCTAGAACAAAATTTTGAAAGAAATCGTAAATGTGCTCCAAAATATGTCCCAAACTGGTTAATTCATCAAGATCTCAGAATTCCAACTGTAGAAGAAGAAATTAATCATTACTGCTCCTGATACAAGGCTCGTCTAAGTCGTCATCCAAACGGAATCGCTTTGATTGTTTCTGTGAAAAGCCAAAACATTATTTTTTCAAATAAACAGTGAAATTTTTTATCATCGCAATTTGAAAAGTTGTTAAATCTTAATTTTTATTAACACTATGCCGTCTGCTACACTATAGTGGTATCGTGCGAACTAGCGTTCAACCGCCGGCGTCGCCACAGTTATCTATCCATCCTGTTGGTGTTTTATTTACGTAACAAAAAGTAACACTAGTCAACATTAGTAAAACAATTTATAATTTTTTGATAATATCTATAACGGTCGGCGACAAGCAAAGTAATACGATTTAGCACTACCAGCGCCAAGCGAAGAAATTTTTACGAGACGTGCGGAGGGCAGTTCCTACAACTTGCCTTAAGAAAAAACGCTTCAACATTTGGAGATTGATTTGTGATTTACACGTGTTAAATAATCTGAATATTAATAGTTTTAGTTAATATTAACCCTATCCAATCGCAAATTGCCATATGTATATGTATTTTGCCGCCGGAGCGGCGGCATCCGAATGGAGTGGGTGAATATTTACTAACAAACTACTTGTAAGATAATATTATCAGCTTACTTTTACTAATCGCTGATTTAATTTTATTCTGATATTTTTACATTCAGATTCTATAAGAGTGTTAAGATAATGATAATCAAAATCAAAAATATTTAAGAATTAAATTATTTATTTTACAAATCTTACTCTATTTTTATACAAATTAAAATTTATTTTGATTCCTCAAATGTAATTGTAGGATCACCAAATTGATGCAATTCTTCACAATAAAGATCTTCAGGTATATCATCATCATCTACATTTGGGAAAGCAGTCGGAAATGGTGGAGCTTCTTTAGGTTTTCTTAGAGGTAACATTGTATCATAAACATAGCAAAATGAATTTGTATCTCCAGGAATAGCTAAGCCAGAAACATACAGCACGTTATATTTTGTATTAATTCGCCAAATTCGGGCACCTTTGTGTATGCGCCATCTAAAAAAAAATTAAATATGTTACTTATTATGAATTATAAAAAACTCAATTATTGAAACATTATTAATTACTCGAACTAAGAAACTTGTGCTATAAATTATAAATGACATGAAATTTCATTAAGGTTTTCGAGGTCTATGATGACAATTACCCATACATAATTAATAGTATAAACTAAAATTAAATTTATGAATCTTACCTGTTACCCATATGCCCAGGCATTTTTGTACCAGGCCAAACACGTGCTTTTTCTCCACCACCACCTATATTACCTGGCCTACGATGTGTCTTAGTTACACCATGTGAAGCAGGCATACCTTTAAAGCCCCATCTTTTCATAACACCTTGAAAACCACGATCTATCCTATTTTTTAATACAGAATGGAAATTGTATATTCGCTAAAGTTTTGAATAGGAGTGGCTCAAAAAGAATATTCAAAGTTATTTCATCGTTAAAAAATATTATAGAACAGTACAAAGAATTTTTAATGAATTTATGTTAAACACTTTAAGGATGTATAATAAGCAAAATATTAAATTATTTAGTTATACTATATCTTACGTTTTTCCTCGAATATCAACATAATCTCCAACCCTAAAATGAGCAGCTGTCAAAGGAGTGCCTGGGTTCAGGGCAGCATTAGGTGTAACTAGGAACCTGCCCAATATACGTTTTGGCATGACACCTGAATTTTTAAATAATCCACAATATTCCTTGGTGAGTAATGTCGGGTCAACACTCTCAGCACCAACGAGTAATGCTCCATATTTGTTTGGGTTAACAATAGGTTTTCTAGGTCTATGATTTTGATTTATTTCACCAGGTGGTATATACTTTATGACATGATTATCAACTATCTGAAATTAATATAGCAAATATATATATATATATATATATATATATATATATAATAATAATAGTAATTAGATTTTTTGTTCGACTTTGAGACATATCTTGAATAATGATTTTCAGCCACTCATTGAAATAAAAGAAACAAATATAAATATTTATCTGGCTGAAAATCATTATTCAAGATATATATATATATATATATATATATATATACACCTAAGTCTGTTTTTACACGGAGATTGGTTCCAGAAGAATCCGTGTAAAAAAAAAACGTGTAAAAAAAGACATTGATCTTATACAAAAATGGGTGATTTGTTCCTGATCTCTAAAACCTATTAAAATTGGTGAAAAACAAGAATTTTTAAGAACAAGAATTAAATTAGTGCTATTCACATTTGCTTTGACCAGTAAAAATTGTTTGTACGCGCTAAAGGGGAATTCACTTAAATCTTTAAGCTAGTGTTCGCAAACTATCGATACTATCGATGGTTTCAGACTTTTTTCTTTCATAAATACTTTTTTGTGATATAAACATACTTCGCAAAAATTTAATTTGACAAAAAAAATTTAGGTACATAAAACTTCAAATCGTGCTAAATGGAATAAATTCGTGTAAAAAAATTAAAAATATTCAATTTTCAAACCGTGTTATATCAAAACCGTGTACAAAAAGACCGTGTAAAAACAGACTTAGGTGTATATGGGTGTTATACAAATATTTTGTTATATAATAAATTATATGAAGCAGTAAGTTGCAATTATGAAATAAACTATGTAATTGATTCTAGCTCATGTCAACTAACTCTTATTTAAATTAAATGAATAGAAATAATAGTTACTTGTAATAGAGTAGTATATATTTTAGATCCATCTTTAAACCACAATGGATAAACTCCTATTTTCCTCGCAATTACTCCGCTTCTAACAGACCGAGGTGTCCATTCAGTTTTTGGCAATTGTAACTCTTCCTTCAAAATTCCTCCACTTTTTGCATAGGTTTGAAAGCCACCAATAACAACAGGTTCTCCATACTTATCGTGAACTATATCTTTGACAAAACTTTCATTTTCTTTTGTGAGAAATTCATTCATCAACTGTAAATAGTTTTGATAATATTAGGTTGAATAATGAGTAGGAATATCAGTTAAAAGATATTTACAGTTCTTTCTTTTCGAACAAACCATATAGGATTTCTCAAAACTGGTCGTTTTCCCAGTTGTTTTCGACCTCTATTTGGTATGGTAATTGGATCTGTAATACTATTAAAATTAACTAATCAGTGAAAGTAATGTCAGATATATTTCAAAACTTAGTTTAATTACTATATTTAAATGTTATTTCATAATTGAAAAATGGTATACCTGAGCCTTAAAAAACTGTTCTTTAAAGCATTTAAATTGTCAAGAGCAGTTCTTGCTAAACAGTGAGCCATAATTAATATTTTATAAACATATAACAAGGTTATAACATTGTGAATTAAGTAAATATATATAAATGATATTGCTCAAATTTATTTAAGAAATCTAACAATGGTTTTGAGGTTAGGTATTAAAATAATATGACGGCACAGTGCAGCATAGCCAACATTAGAATAATTGTTATATAATCTGAGAAATATATTTTTTATAAATTGAAATCATTTCAATATAGTATTTTAATGTCTATCACATTTAATATTTAAAGCGTTAAGAATTATTTTAATTAAGTTATATATCTATTTAATTTCGAAAATTACCGCGTAAAGTTTGACATTTTCGCAACAACTTCACACCGATACAGTAAGACCAATGCGTAGAATTGAAACGTCAAAAACAACTGTAGACTTTGATGTTTATGTTGGTTAATTTGTTTATTCTGCAAAAAGCATTGAACAGTGTTTAGTGTTCATGCTATAATAAAGTAATAAATATATTTAGTTACCTTGTTAATTCAATTTTGCTAGTTGTTATAAAATATTATCCATTTTACCATTGTGCGAACCTTCATAACCCAACATCGAATCATCTTTATTTTGGCACGCGATAATTATGGTGATTTATACAAGTGTCTTTTAACTGTTATGTAACGAGGGTAAATAAAAATTTAGTGTCTTTATTATCCAGACATAGTTATTGTAATGGTGTAGTGAGAAACAGTAAAGTAGAAAAGTGCACCAAACATGTTATTAAAGTGTTCTTCCGCAGAAAAGCGGCATGCCCCAGGCAAAGGCAAGCCTGCACGTGGAACCGGTGAGTACAATTTTTAATAACTTTCGCCATTGTGTCATGCGACATAACCTTAAAATTTCATGTATACATGCTCGGTCTTCATGCAATCACATTGAAAATTGATAATAACACTTGTTTCGAGTTATTTGAGGTCATGTTTTGTGACCCCTATGATAGATTTTCAATGCTTGCTTGTGTCAGGAAATAACAACTTTAAGTAACATGACGTCATTTTCGATGGATTCATTTTTGTATACACGCCGCTTATAGTCGGCATTATGACAAGGATTCTCGGAAATATGCAAATGAATCAATTCTCAATCATATTGCAATAGATAGTATACATTTATAACAAAACAAATGGTTGTCATACGATTCTATTAATTCATTTTGCTTTATACCTGGTATAAAATAACATTATTACCCTGTTTCGATGCTTCGATGGTAGAGAATGAAGTAGGCCTAAATATCCTCATCATTTTCAGTAGTTATTAGATAATAAATTTTGATAATTGAAATATTGATCGAGATATTCTTTGTTGTGAGTTTACAAAGATTTTTTCTTAAAAATTTATATTTCTCTTTGCATGGTATCAATCTTCAAATTCTTTTCATAAAATTTTTACATGCAGTAGCGTCTTGCCATTATTATTATTTTTATTTTTTGATAATGATTTCTTTATTTCACATAAATGAATATTTACATTCTGTTTTACAATATTTTATACAGAAGTGTATTTATATAACTATTCTTCAAAAAATATTATTTTCTTTTTATTTCTTGAATTCCTCATCCTTGAAATTTCCTCCTCAAAATTACAAAGATTTTTTCTTAAAAATTTATATTCTCTTTGCATGGTATCAATCTTCAAATTCTTTTCATAAATTTTTACATGCAGTAGCGTCTGCCATTATTATTATTTTTATTTTTTTGATAATGATTTCTTTATTTCACATAAATGAATATTTACATTCTGTTTTACAATATTTTATACAGAAGTGTATTTATATAACTATTCTTCAAAAATATTATTTTCTTTTTATTTCTTGAATTCCTCATCCTTGAAATTTCCTCAAACCATGATATAAATTATATAAGATTCTTGATTTATTTTGTATATCTATTTTGATAAGTTTATCGTCATCCTCAGTTACATCTATTTTCAAGATTTTTAATTTATTTTCAACCAATCTCATATAATTTTTTTTTACCACATTCAGTTAAATAGTGTACATTTTTTTACCACATTTTCCTCCTTATTGCATTTTCACATTTCTCTGTGCTGCACATTTTTATTCTAAAAGCTTCAAATAATTGTTGTTTTCCATTCTCTGAAGGAATATTTTTGTTTTCTATATTAACTATTACAAATTATAATATTTGTGATTATTAACTTGACAAATTGTTGTATTAACTGTTTACATATTAATATTGTAGCAGGGATTTGCGTTTCTAAGTTGATTTTACATTTGACCTTTTCTGCAATTTATTTATAATTCAGAATGAATATATATCTTGAATAGGATGATTTTATTAGCACTTCTAAATACTCTGAAGCGATATATATTTTAATTTTTTTATATAGAACTATTCATGGTTCTCCGAATATAGTAGAAAAACTAGTGAATTTTATTTATTCGCATTGGCGCATTAACCCATAAAAATAACTGATAATATTGAAATTATCAGAGACATTTCCTGTTGATTTGAGTTAAAAAACATTAATATATCTCGAACGACCTTGACAAGGTAACTTTGTGTGGAACCAACCTGGTTTAAATATGCCTCCAAGTTGTTTGCTAGTACCAAAGGTAATATATTATATGATACCTAAGTACTTTTTGTACTAGGGGATATTTAAATACTAACTTAGATGGATATTTAAATTAGGTTCACACAAATTTACCTTGTCAAGGTCGTTACATCATATATAAGTAATTCGCAGTCGACCATTTATTGCAATATTCAAAGTTCAATAAAATTGATTCAAGATCAAATTTTAAAATGTACATTCTCAAATTTTAATCTCTCGTATGTTATAAAATTTGCGTATGTCATTCGATTGCATAACTTGATACTTGATAAGAACTCACGTTTTTTATCTGTATCAGGTAGTTATCTTAAACAATTAGCAATTAGCAATATGTGCGGAAATAATTATATGTGTTATCTCGTACGTAGGTTTTGGATAAACTTACTACATTTAAAAATAAATTTTAACATTAAATTTATTAAAGCATAATGAATTTATTTCAATACATTCTTGTTTTGAATTCAGTGTTGACTTTTTCACGTATTAAATTGACTACATAATAGATTGTGTATTTAAATGGTTTAAATAACACAATCGCATGACTATTAATATTTGTTGATGTATTGATGAAATCAATTACGTCTTTTAATTTTTTGAAGATTAATCATCTTTTGTTCTTCTGAAAGGAATTTGTTAAATTTGGCAGAGAAATGTCTTCTGATGAATAATATTTATGTAAATGGATTTTTTGTAAAGGAAATACTAGGATGTTTTAGCAAAGTAACCCCAAAGGTTTTTTTCTTTTTTTTTCTTTTTTTATTGGCCTCCGCTTTACAGCATTTTTAGCCACCTTCACCTACATTATTCATATTATTTTTCAGAATATTCTATACAAGTCTTACATACATATTGCTTCTACATATATCATTTATACTATCTCTTCTTATATCCTAACCTTCCATTCAATTTTTCTTTCAACTGGTTTTCATTCTTCTTCTTGTTGTCTCAATATGTTATTCTCATCTTCTAAAAAACTTTTCTTTTTTCTTCTTACTTCTAATACATTTTTTTCTTGTGTTCTACAAATTAACAATTCTTAATCTAATTTAATATTTTATATTTTAATTCTGGTATTGCTGGAGATTCGAACCGAATTCCTCCAGCTTGTGAGTTGCCATTACACGAAAGATTCAAAGTCGTAATCTACAATTAAAATTTCAATTATATTTTTATTCCAAATTGATCAAATCCATATAGTTTCAGGATCACAACTAAAATTGTCTAGCTGTACTTGAGATCAAATTCGTTTCCATTCTATCAAAATTTGAAATTTTATTCAATCTCACTTCTCTCAATTCAGATACTAATGTATATATTTTTAAAATTCCCGTTTTTGTTTTTGAGTAAGAGCGTTTTTGTCTGAATGAATGCTTGAAAAATTGTTTTTATTTTCAAATTGATCAAATATATATAGTTGTTTTCAAATTGTTCAAACCTTTAGTATCAGGATCAAAATTAAACTTATCTCTCAAATTCATTCTATCATATTCCATCAATTTGAAACTTTATTTAATCCAATCAAAATCACTTAAGAGTCTAACTTTTTGCATGAGCATTTTTGAAGTGCCTCTTGGTTTTTGATGAAGGGCTTTTTTGTATAAATTATGAATACTTGATAAATTGTTTATTTCTCAAATTGATCAAATCCATATACTTTCAGGATTAAAAATCAAACTTATCTTTTAAATTTATTGTATCACATTCCATTAATTTTTGAAACTTTATTCAATCCAATTGGATTGATTGATGATTCTAACTAGAATCATTTGAGAATCTAATTTATGTATTTTTGAAGTGCCCGTTGGTTTTTGATGGAAGGCATTTTTGTCTAAATAACGAATACTTGATAAATTGTTTATTTTTCAAATTGATCAAATTCATATACTTTCAGAATCAAAATCAAACTTATCTCTCAAATTCATTGTATCATATTTGATCAATTTTTGAAAATTTATTCTGTTTAATTAGAATCATTTGAGAATTTAATTTGTGTGTTTTTGAAGTGCCTGTTTGTTTTTGATGAGGAGCATTTTTCTTTAAATAATGAATACTTGACAAATTGCTTTTTTTCAAAATGATCAAATCCATATACTTTCAGGATCAAAATCAAACTTATCTCTCAAATCTCAAATAATCAGGGCAAATGATTCAACAATGAACTTCTTAAAATTTCTTTCTGTTTTCAAGTTTTTTTAAATGCCTATTTTCCAGTGCCCTCATTTATTCGCATTATTGATTTTTAAGGATTTTTGGACCCCTTTTTACCACTTGGTGGTATGTGGTGATATTTAAAATCATGCAGGGCCGCATCGCTTGAATGCGATGCATGCGAAAAATGCGGACGCACGTCTTAGGGGGCGCCAAAACCAGATTTCGAATTAAAGTTTATAATATATTATTTATACTTTTTAAATATAAAATCGAGAATACTCAATAGATTA